TTACTGGTACCATTTGGCGGATATGATTTGACATGGAAGCATCGTCAATATCTGTTGTGCCAAGGTTGTTCATCTTCGAAGGCAAAAAACGGACTCAAAGGTTGTTGTCATCGGGGTTGAAAGGTTGGTTGGAATTGTAATCTTGAACAAAACCATCATGGAAAGATTCGAAGCCCTGTCCAGGAATTTCACTGGGGTCGATAAAATCGTACCCAGATCCGTCATAGGCGTGGCCGGCAGAGTCAGTAAAGTCACCGAATCCCTCGGTGTCGTTCGAGCTGACCAAGCTCAAGCCATGATTAATTGCAGGCGCTAAGCCAGAGCGTTCAAAACCGAAGAATTGCTGGTTGGAGTATTGGTAGCTACCATGTGTATTTTGATACGGTCCCGTCTCAGCATTCATAAAATTCTGATTGCCATAAGTTTGGCCGTAAACTGGGTTATATGCTTGAGCAGTCAATGCGCCTTGTGGGTTGTAAGTACCGGACCCAGGGGTTATACCTCCATTGTAGCCGTAAGGAGTGTAAACAAGCTGATTTTGAAGCCCAGAATTATCATTGTTGAGATGCAAACCTCCATGACCAAAAACATCATCAAAATCGCGATCATGAGCATCGACAATCGTCTCTGCGTCATCATCAACATCGCCATATCTGCCAGTGTACTCGGCCTCATCGACTGCAACTTCCTCCTCAGCCAAGTTCATGGAAGCGCCTGCAGCGAATTTCTTTAGCTTATCAGGTGAAATCTTGAGCTTGAGTGGCAAACTGGCTAAAGGTGTCATTGCATGATTTCCGGCAACCTTCTTGCAGGGTGTCTCTTCAAGGAAGTCATCATCTTCAGAGTATTCAAATGATTCACCCTCGGAATCGCTGGTCTCATCTAAATCATATTTACGCTCGGTTTTGACCTTGACCTTACGCTTGCGATGACCATTGATCTTAAGACGGTTTCCGGGGTCGTAATCCTCATCTGATGGCATTTCTGCCGGGTCGATGGATTCGGATCGTTCCTTCTTGACCACGACAGACTTCTCTTTTTGTTCGGTCTTTGCTTTTGATGCTCGCTTGTCAGGATAAGATCGAGTGGAGAAAGTCTTGGTAGGTGTTTCCTCGACAATAGTTGCCTTGTTGTTTTGCCATCGAGCCTTATCGCGACGATAGGTTCCTGATCCTCTGGTGATACCAGGAGTAACTAGACTCTCCTTCAAGTCTTCGATCTCTTCGTCCCAAGTAACTTCACGAGTTGCTTTTGGGTCTTCAGAATTCATATCGCGAATGTATCCACGAACATTTGAATCAACAGTGTTCTTCTTTGCAAAAGGAGGAGGAACAAGGTGACCTTCGGGGATAAGAACTTCACGCAGCTTATTGATATACTGTACGGTAGCTGCACCAGAACTTCCAGGGCGTATTCTGTGAGCGATATCGTCCCACGGAAGGCTTATTCCTTGACGGCGACATTCATAATTGATCCATTGAAGCACTTTCTCCGCCATTCTTGGTCCTATAGCTTTGATTAGTCCTTGTTCTCGAGGTTGATGTGAAGAATGGAAGCTTACTGTGCCAAGGTACAAGCTTGCGTCCTTCGACGCGACCATTTGGATGGGTTGGTTTTCCAGCAGAGCCAATTACCTTACGAGCTTTGCCCCAAGTGTTTCTGGGGGACTTGACTCCATCTTTCTTGTCTTTCCAGCCATTTTCATCTTCCTCGGAAGACTCGCCGCGTAGTGCGCTTTTCAAGATCGCGTGGCTTTCCTTGATCTTTCTCTTCTCTACAAAAGGTTAGAATTTAATGGCTTCCATTCTAGCGAAGGATGTGTATCGATGACAAAAATATTGTATTCTTCGAGCGACTCACCTGAAGATGGATTGATATCAGTGATATTGTTAGGTGCGCGCTTATTACTAGCAGCTTTTCTTGGAGATAGAGGCCCGACACACTTTCTTCCATTACCACGAACAGCTTTGGCTGATGAATTGGATGGCGTGACGGGGTCATAGCTGTCATCTATCTCGTCATCTATCTCGATCCAGGCGAATAGATCTTTGGTGTTTATTTTAGCTTGGGAGTTAGAGAGAATGCTAGACTTGACAGGTGTAGCAACAGAACCACGACGGGGAGATTCTTGCTTCTCGATGTTGTTGAGGTTTTGATCACGGCCAAGTCCCTCGACTACATCGGCATCTCCATCAGTTGAAGGCATGTTTGTTAAGAATTGACTGTCAATGCGTTGTGTGGTTGTCTTGTCGTTGTTGGAAGAAGAGAATCAGAATTATCTAGAGCGAAGAAATACTTGTTAGCCTTTGTTGCTTGATTGAGCACCTTGTCAGACCTCTAGCAGATGTGAGGTAGCGATTCCGAAAGCGGACTTGAGGAGCGGGGAATCTTAGATTGAGAGAAGAAAATGGAGTGAATTTGGAGTGGAAAATAGTAAGCGCGAAGATTGCGAACAGCATGAGATTGGGGAAAGATAAGAATTGGACAAGTCTACCAAAGGGGAAATGGTGTATAAGTCTGAATCCAGATGAAATCTTTCCCAGAATTGTGGGTGTGTTTCCCACTGTTCTGAGGGTTTCAGTTGTGGCATTGGTCAAATATGATGCCAAGTAAGAAGGTCCTTCGGAACCAGAAGCCTGATGGTAGTTCATGCAAACACAATACATGAATGCATAATATAGTGCAGAAAGACTCAAGTGCTTTCAATCCTATTGATCTTGTTGGGCTTCAGATCGCCGCAAAACTGCCCTAAGACAAGTATTGCTTCGGCGACGCCATCATCACGAAGAGGAAGAGTCCTCTGTGAATCGGCAGAGCCTTGATCAGATACACCTTGATTGACTGAGGATATTCTGATTTGAATTCTGTGTTGGGAGAGTGTGACTGCTAGATCGGGAAGGTGGGGTAGGGTAGTGATGGGGGAGTCGCAGCAACACTGCCATTAAGAAGAGGAAAAGAAGTTTAAGTCTTTGAAAACGTACCTTATAGGAGACTTAAGATAATTCGAAACAGAAGAGCAGAGACAGAGGGACTCTATTTGCTCAAGTGATGAGGTAGAAAAAAGAACTGATGATGGATTGTAAAAGATTGAGTTTGGGGTTTGGAGAGAGAAAGATAAAGAGAGAGGGAGAAGAGTCGCAAGCGAGAACCAAGTTTAAAGTATCAACAACTTCAAATTTGTGCCGGTATCCAATCGGGCCGGATAATCTTACATTACCGACCAACCGAATGGAATATTCCGGGTGACGACAAAGGGTTAGATAATTTAGATGATCTAGCACCATAGGAGATACTCTTGAGGCTTGTATGGCTCTCTCCTGGAGTGTGCATAAGTGTTCAGCTTGAAGATTACACTTCAAAGCGCCGTCATAGACTTCGACATTTATTCTGCTATCGGTCACCATGTGTTTCTCATGGCAATTGCCTTTTCAAAGCACCCAATTTAAGTCTCGCTGATCTGAGGTGGCTACCTCAAACGTCTACAGAACTCAAGATCAGAAAGAAGTATACGAAAGTCTCTGTTTGTGCTAGCTACCAACTAACTTTTAATATAATTGGCAGAACTTGAATCTCCCCTTTAAAATGGAAAAGCGTCAATCTAATCAACAGGGCTCGTTCGTAGGCCACAAGGAACAACAACCCAGCAGATGTTCTCCGCGAGGGTCCAGCAAGATCTGCAGCAAGATCTGCGGCAACCACTGCGGGAGTAACCCAGAATGCACACTTCAACCATATCGCGTTAGCACATTACTCGACTCTAGCTTCTCCATTGCTTTTTTGCAGTTAGTCCACCTCCATTGATCTAATTCTACTGAAGAGAGCAGTTGCTGAAAAGATCGTTGTCTGTAGGATCTTCCACTAATCTTTAAGCACGACAACATCCGGCTTAGAGGTTTAGAAGACGTTCCATTAACTCTGACAACTTATACAATACTGTAATTCCACCGAAGTGAGTCCCACTCTGCTTGTACTAGACGCTGGCGTCACGGAGATCTTACTATCTATTGATTACACCACTGTCGAGTATCTAGATTCTCCAACCCTATAATGTAAATCAATAACAGACGGTTCGGCTGCTACCAAGGCAATCATCAAGCCTGCAACAGCTGCTGCTGAAATGCTCTATCTGAACACTAGTATCTACAAAGTAACCACCACAATTACCATACCAGCTGGTGCCTGTAACGGCGAGAAACGTAGCATGTAATAATAGGAGATACTCGAAATACTTGATGTATTAGCTAGCTACTTTCAAACGAGGATCTATACACCCGAGCTACAGCGATTTATCGGCCAGTATGCAGCACGACATCGTGCCAGTAGATATTACCTCCCTACTACACGCATATTCTCAATCTTCATAAGCCCATTTCTGCTAGCCACTTTTCTAATTAACGCCGTATGCTAACTGGCAGAAGCTAAGAGTTAAGGAGTAGTCGTCGAGATCATGTAAGCTTGTTGAGTTAGACGAAACGAAAGGACACCTGCATAGTTATACTGTTCACCGCGGCTTTAGACCTCACATGTTGAAGAGGAGAAGGCGACGAGCAAGAAGAGCTCAACATCACACTCTCCATGTAATAATCGTACTTGTGCCTACCAGCTTCTATTTGGCGAGGAGAAGATCCAGCCATAATGCTTACCATCATCTTTGAGCTCATTCTGAGAATCTAGAGGCCAGTCTACTCACAGTAAGAATGCAGACGGAGTAAAATACTATTTAGATGCTCAAGAGCTGATTCATTATTTAGGGAACTGCATGAACAATAGCTTGAAAATCTCCATTTCCTATCGATCTCGTGTTTCAAGAGCAAAAATACTGATCCCGCCGATTTACCACCATCCGAAGAAACTGCAGATCCTCCCCCAAGTTTCTCGATACGTAAGAACTGACCACATATTTCCTCGAAGAATTTCATAGCTGCAGACGCCATAAGCAACGATATTCCCCCCAACGAATAATCACCAGCCTCCAACGACCAAATAAAACCCAGAATCCTCTATTCAACCAACAAAGAACTCTCCGAACCGCCTTCGCTATCATAAGCTTGTCCAATAGACCGATACTGCTGCGCACCCATACCCATTCCATTTGATCCTGCAGCATGACTTCTAGATGCCGTCATATTCTGTCCACCGTGACCACCCATACCAGTTCCGCTTCCCATCATACCGTGACCGCTCATCATTCCACCATATCCACCCGTATTGAAACTATATCCACTCTGCGGCTGACCATACGTATTCAAAGCACCGGAGCCCGCACCAGTAGCGCTCATGCCACCCGCAACCATATCACTTGCATACCCCTCCCCATCACCAAACTCAAACTCGCCCCCCTCTCCACTAACACTCCCTGCCGCACTGCTCCCTCCACTATAATAATCCACCAACTCCCTATTGACATCACACAATCCAGCTCCCAACCCCATCTGCATTCCCTCTCTCAACTGCGCGCTTGGAGAATCTTCTCGATACATCTCCTCCTTAATCGCATTCCTCGCACTCATCTCGCTCTTCACCTCTCTCTTGACTTTATTTCTGCTCGGGCCCTGACCAGAAGAAGAGTCCTCCTCATCATCCGCATTCTCATCTTCGTTGGAAAACTTGCGCTTCTTACCGGTAGACTTGCCGCGCGGTGCGGAGGTGGGAGCGGAGATGTTCGAGTTGAGGGTGGAGGAGGGACCGGGCGCGGGTTTGATGGATGCAGCGTTGGGTGCGATGCCGTGGGAGCGCATCATGCGTTCGTAGCGTTTTGCGCTGCGAGGTGAGAGGTTAGTCGGGGGTGCAGTTTGAAGCGGAAAAGAGGATGGAGAAGGGGATTGGGGTGGATTGGTGGGTGGAGAGAAGAGAAAACTTACGCGGCGCCTTTGGTGACGATCTTGCATTCTTTAGCTACTTGGCCGAAGTCTACCTGTGAGATGTTAGTAGTCGTCTTCGAAAACAGTCAAAGTAAGAGGATGGTGGGAAAGTGAATAGACAGCAATGTGCGGCAGAGGAGGAAGAATACCTTTCCATTGTTACTGTATCGAATACAGCTAATAAGGAACTTGAATTGTTCTTCGTTGGAAGCTGGAGCCATGATGAGCAAGCTGTTGTTGTATAGTGTATATCTTAGATGTATGGATGTATTGTTGAGGTCTCTCAACTCGATGGATTGACTATTGAAGACAATGTAATAAGTTAGTCTTCTCCAAAAGTGAATAGAATGTTTGGTGTCTGAGCGGGAAGGAAGACAATTCTGGCGGCAGCGGAAGAAGAGATGGATAAGGTCTTCCGATCTTGCAAGACTGACAGATGGAGATTAGGGAAATGGAGAGAAAACGTCTTTCTTTTTAATGTCTAGACTGTGGTAGAGCGGTTGCTACTTACTGGCTTGTCTGTAATAGTCAAGTTGTAGATCTAGGGCAGGCTGTCGTTTTTGAGAATAATGTGTTTGAAAGAGTTGGGTATGTGGTTGTGAGGGGTTGTGTTATCAAAGATTACTTTCGTTGTTCAATTTTGGGTTCTTCAAATAAAGGTGGATTGTGGGATCATAGTTCCAACAGTGAATCTGAAAGATTTCTTTTCTCCTGAGATGAGGGGTCTTTCACAAAGAGAAAGAGTATTTGTGTGTCACGGGTCATGAGTAGACAATGGATTCTGGGTCATGGGAGATTGCATTCAAGAGCAAACTCTGAGAGTACTATAACTATGGCCATTGACTGCGCACTCGTCCTTTCTCCTAGCTTTCCCCATGATATCATATCCTCCCCATCGCATTTATAGAGACACATAACCTCCCTCATGTTATGATCCTGGCGAAGGAGAAAAAACATGCCGTGCTTAAACCAGAACCAATTTGCAAACCAGTAAAGTAAAATCCATCTCAATCTTATCCATCGTTCCGACCGAGAGTAGCGAGTTGAATGGGAAAGGGGAAAGAGTCGGATTTACTCGGAATCCTCTGTCGAAGTGTTTAAAATTAGCAAGTGTAGTTGCGCATATAGAATGAGAAAACGCAATGAGTGTGTCTGATAACAATGACTCCGAGTTTGAACAATGCAAAAATCCACAAGAAAAGCCAGCCTAGAGGAAGTGTAGAATCTTAGAGCTCAGCCCAGCCTATAGCCCTCATCAGGAATTCTGCAGGAATGTGTAATCATTGAGAGCCTTCCAATGTCGATAAGCATCAATACTCATGTTGGATTGGGCAGCTAGGAGTTGTTCATCGAGATCAACTTGCTCGTCAACAGGACTCTCTTCAATGAAAGTAGAGAATGTCTCTTCGGCTTCGACGACAGACATTTTAGCAACCTCATCTGAAATCTGAAGACTTTCAGAAGATCCAGTAGACGAGCCGACAACGGAGTTCTTTCCAAGACTTTTGGCTTTGAGGGAAGGAATATGTTCTGGTGACTTGCCGTCTTCGTCGTCCAATACTGGCTCTGCTAATTCGTCACCGCTATCAACCTCTTCCTCCTTGACTTCCTTCTCGACTGTGCCCTTCTTTCCTCTGGGCTTAGGGGCGGCTTTGATGGGAGCGTTCTTTGGGCCAACCTTCTTCTTTGGAGAAGTTTTCTTGGTGGGAGAGGGGGTCTTGGGAGGGGTAGCACCATCCTCGTCATCTGGAGAAGGTCCGGCTTGATCCTAGTAAGTATCGAGTTAGCAGAGTGTTAATTTGCGTCAAGAAAAGATGCCCTATTCAGACAGTGTCATACCTTCAACTTCTCAAACAGCTTCTTGAAGCTCTGGCGAGCGTTCTTAGCAAACTTGACCTTAACTCGAGAGGCGACACGGTCAAAGTTAATCTATTGATGGATATTGTAAGTACGTAGTCAATGTTGCATGAAGAACAGTGCGACGTGAGTACATGGAAGTCAAGAAGAAGATATCAGATGAGTGTCGCTCTATGCCATTACTTGGCATCAGAACCCAAGATATTCACCTGACATGAACGGAAACACAAACGGGTGCAACACCAAAACGACACAAGGCCCAACCCCAAGAAGGGTTCAGCACAAGGAAAAAGAGAACAAATGGAACTTACATTGCTAGGAATCTCCCCCATCTCAGACATCACAGCTACAAGCATCTCCGTCTCCTTCGCGGACAAAGTCAAAGTTGTCATTTTTGCGAATGCTGATTCTGTCTTCGAGTCAGCTTGAGTTTACTTGAGATTGACCACTGTCACTATCCACCACCCATAGGATCTTGAGATCCCAGATGAAGAAAAACTCACTTTGTAGAAATGGAAATGATTTCTTTTCGAAGTAATGCTTCTTTGAGACGGTATCCTTGGATGCGCAAGCTAAATTGCAAGAATTGCGAAATTGTGGTTGTTGTTGTTGTGAGATCGTGAGGTTGCGTTTGGATGTGGTTTTGGAGGGCAGAGAAGAAGCGAAGCAGTTGAGCAGCAGCACAGCACAGCAAAACTGAACCGAGATAATATAGTAATAATTCAACTAGTAGGCAGAAATAGAAGTAAAAGTGAATTTTCCAGCCATTTCTCACTTCTCTCCGAAGCATACCTACCCAGTAAAATCTTCCCGTTCCCCGAATCTTCCAGCCAGGTTCGAGCATGAATTCTGTCTGCTTGATCGGAGGTTCTATCAATTTTTTGGAGTCACATTATGCATGGAACATAGATTTCCAGCTTTGAGATATCAGAAATTGACCATTGTGAAGAATGTGACACAAATCCTGCGGGGTTTCCGTTTGGCTGACATTGTTTGCACAGACCTCACATTGCTTTTTTCTCTACCGTAGTATCGGGCATTTACCTGGTCAAGTATTGAATGGCAAAGACAAAAGTAAGTGATTCATGGTCAAGTAGACATTAAAAGAAGTAATGATTTTATAGAGATCCTAGATGGTGCTTTCCAGAACAACTTGAAGTTGCAATAATCAACACCTATCTACGAATCGTCCCTTTTCCCAAAGACGGGGAATAGATAATTACTAATATCCATGGCTGATAACAACCTTCCTCCCCATAATTCCTTGTATTCATCAATAACCCGAATCGCCATGGACATAAAAGAAGAAGAAAATTGTCAGAACTTTAGAGATCCAACGCTGAACAGAACCACCTTCCGGCACCCATGACGAGCTTGGGTAACATATATGCAACCTCACCCAGAAAAGCTACCACCGACAGCCCAGAAGACTTGATGACGACATATGATTTACTCATCATCTTCTTCCTTGGATTCCTCCTTCACATCCTCCATATCCTCGTCTTTGACATCAGAGAGCTCCTCGTCAGACTCGACTTTCTTGGCAGACTTCTTTGCTGGTACCTTCTTGGCACGAGGCTTGGGAGTAGCCTTAGCCTTGGTAACGCGATTCTTGGAAGGGGTGGTTGGGACAGCAGGCTCGTTGGTGCCATTAGCATCCGATGCTTTCTTTAGTGAGACGTCGCCTTTGCCGGCCTTGCCACCAGCCACCTCATCAGCAGTGCGTGAAGAGGCACCAAAAGGAAGATCAAACTTCTTCTTGATGGAAGAGACCTTATTCGAAACCTGAAGCGGAGGATTAGTTGAGAAAATGTTTGATGGTCGAAAGCATGACTTACCGAACGAGGATTTTTGTAGTTCAATAGCTGGGCGACTTTTTGAGTATCGACCTTTAGATTTTTTCCCTAATCAGCTATTGGGAACAGTTTTTGGACGTGGAAAAGCGTATAAGATAAAGTGTGATTTGAAAGTGAAGGGTACGTGAGATGCGGTGCGCGCGACAACTATACATGTACACAGAGCCACCAAGTGAAGATGAGGTGGTGTGGTAAAACGCGAGAACGAATTGCTTGTAATGATTTTGAGAGGAAAGGGTGCAATTGAAAGACAGCCGAAGGTGTGATACATGGTCGCGGTGATAAAATTTGGAAGTGAAGTACAAACAGCAGGATGGGAGAGATAGCATTGCGACAGTATGACTTACCTGGATAGAACCGCCGGTGGTGTTGCGAAGACAACACATGAGGAAATCAACATCAGCCTGGCTCATACCGCCGTTGGCTTGAGCTTGGGAACTGGCAACTTCATTGTCGGACATTTTGATTGTGGTTAATGGGATTGTTTTTGTGGAGGAATGGGATGCGACGAGATGATCTATGTATACAAGACCAGTCAGCACGACAAAAATGTCGCAAAAAGATGAAAGTAATGATACGTACATGATGAACTTGCAAAGTGATGCAAGGGATTGATGTATTAACCGTCGAAGTCACCGAAAGGTACGAGAATTTGAGTATGCAAGTTGATCGAGACCGAGGAAAATGTTGTGTAAGTGGGATGGAGAATTTGGGTTGAAAAGTGCGACGAGGATGTTCTTATATGTCTCCATGGGAACGATGCTCATTGAAAAATTCCCTCATATTTCTCTCGCCTAATTGGATGAAGTGGGAACCATCTTTCACTATTCACTCAATATCATGTTCATTCTGAGAGGTTGGTCATTCTCACATGTTTTATTCCATTCGTATTAACTCATGCTCATAGAATGAATGAATTCAGCAGTTTTTTTTTGCTTTTAGCATCCGTTGATATGGTTCATGAGCGGGGTAATGTCCCTGCGTGAATGAATATATTGTTTTGGAAAACCTCGAATACTCTCATTGAGGTACTCGAGACTACTAGCCCTATCGAGTAATTACCATATATGTTAGATCTTGATTCAGTTAGTCAGATTAAGAGCCGGCATCGATCTGCTAGAAGCTTCACGCCCATGAAGGACTGTATCAAGTTGAGTGGAGCTCAACGACGTCTGAGTATGAGAATATGTACTAGCTAGCTATAAATAAATTCAAAAACTTTGGACTTGATCTTCTAGCATTTTCAGGATGTCTGTTTGCACATGAATGTAAAGTGAATGTACGACCGTCACCATGCATTTTCCAAACGCCACCAACGTCCCTCGAGAAACAACCTTGGGAATCCCAAAGAATATGCAGTGTCGTCTAAAAGAGCTATCAGTGCAGAGGAGATAATGTAGGTATCCATATGCGATTCCCTGCATCATTTGCAGAAAACCTTCGATGGAAAGAACAGTCGGCTCTAGAAACAAGGTGCATGAAGCTTCACACCGGATCCCCGCGGCAAATGGCAGAAGAAACCATAAAAGGTACCTGTGGCTCCCCGGGCCTGTGGGTAAAAACATGAAAAGTCATAGATGTTGAGAATCCTAGTACAAAGTTCCTTCACCTTCACCTTGACATGTATTTTGAACTACCTTATGAGGCAATAACTGCGGATAAATCATTTATTTCTACCACATCATTGCAAAGTGTCCCTCTATGAGGTGCAAATTCACCGCTGTAAAGCTTGACCCAAATGCACATGGAACGTTGAAGCTAGATCATACATTTACTCCTTTTTTTTATCTATTCCGCATTTTTACATCTCTATCCTGATTCTACTGAACGGAAGCTCGAAAAAACGGTTGGAGCGTGATTCAAAAGACCGCCATCGAGCAAATGAAAGCAGCACCATTCAAATTCATATGCTTCCCGACTCTACTGTAACCACGTAAATTCACGTATCTACCATTCTCATATAATGTCGTATGTTGATGTATCCCCGAGCTATTGAATGAATGTTCATCTGCAAAGAATGGTCAGTCCGCTCCGCAAAGAACAGGTAACACATATCACTTACCAGCTTAAGATACAAATAGATCTTAATTGAAGTTGTGTGACAATCCATCTAAGACCACGGGGGCTGCCTCCTTGATTTCATCGTCGGAGCCTTGATCGCTGACAGTAAGAGTGTTCGTTTCTTCGTCAAATCCATGATATTTGCTCAGGTCGAATTCCTCTTTATTTTGAAACTCATTCTCGGAGTCGTAGTCATGGCGCTGATTAGCAGTAATGATTAAGTTCGCTGCAGTATCATCGTTCCTGTTAAGAATGTACCCTTGGCCGCGATTTTGTTTGAACTTCGAGGGCTTCTTGGGGTCGATATTTTGGAGATTGCCAACTCTGACCGCTTTTCGTCTGACAAGTCTGTTATAAGCCGGGTCGGTCAAGACTTTTTTCTTGGAATTGAGTACAGGAGGATCGTCATATTCATCCGGAGGAGGCATTCCAGTAATCTTAGGGATAAGCGGCTGTGGTTCTACCTTGTAATGTTTCCGGAGTTTGGTCCTCATTTGACCAAAGCGAGAACGGGCCATGTAAGAATTGGAGCATTCAGTGCGCTCAGCAACAAGATTCCAATTTATCTGCGCAGGGAACGAGGATGTTAGTAAATCAAATCACATGATCGCTTATTAAAGGGACAATGTCTGTAAGGCAAAGTCAAAGAATGTGAAAAATCGAACAAGATAGGATATATCATAGATCGTTGAGTGTGTAGCATATAAAGAAAGTAAGCTTACATCTGGTGGAGTTTCGATACAATCAAAAACTATGAAAAGGAACTTGGCATCTTTCGCAGTTGGTTCGCGGGCATCAAAGTTCGTAGCTCTAAAGTATGTTAGTAGGATAGAGATCGAAATGAAGTATACTAACATCTTTATTTGATCATCAGTCATTCGAGAAATATCGGCTGCCTGATCCTCTTCTTTTTCCTCTTCATCATCTTCCGCCTCGTCATCAGCTTCCTCGCCTTCCTCACCGTCGTCACTCTCCTCTTCCCCTTCTTCTTTTTCTTCATCTTCATCTTCCTCCTCCTCTAACCCATCTTCCTCGGATTCCTCATCATCTTCGTCTTCCTCACTTCCCTCATCGCTCTCATCTTCCTCGTTGTCCTCAGATTTCTCGGATTCCTCATCTTCCGTTTCCTCTACCTCCTCTATCTCCTCAATTTTCTTGGACTCCTTGTATTTTCTAGGCTACATGAGTCAATCAGCATGAGCCAAATTTCCATTAAAAAAATTGTGTCACTTTTACCATCTCGAAGTCGTGAAATTTTCTGTGTGTGGACTTGTTGAAATGATTATATGGTCGAGCCTTGTATCCGATTAATTTTTTAGAGGGAGATATTGCAAGTTTCTGACAAGGTAGGAAATGTAAAAAAGCTATGCGTTTCGGTTAGTTCATTTTCAGGTCACAAATAAGCTAGTACCGTTTTCCTAATGAGCATGGGCAGATTTGTCGAAAGTGAATAGGAACAACGAGAATGCGCGACAAACGGGTGAGAAACCTTTGTCTTCCGAAACCCAACACTAGATAGATATATCAACAAATAATACTAGGCAAACCTCCCCAGAAATTATCTCATACCTCCAGAACATATATATCGTTTCCAACACAACTTTCCGGAAGGACCTGGAAGGGAGTCGAAATCGCGGGAAATTCACCAAGGCATTGTTTTCCGAGATTTTATTGGCTGAGAGAACATTCCGTGAAGTACACAACTACTTACTAATTGGATTGCGAGTTTGTGATTCCTTAATACTCTGGAGAAGTTAGATTAGGCGTAATCATTCTGCGAGAGGAAGCTCATGTATGCCCTTGTTTGGTAAAACAATGTCATGATGACGGGAAAAGTTCCGTCTTTCTACACGTCTCCCCTTATTTGTGTTTTTTGACAGATCAGAAATGTTAGCATTAGAGATTCGTTCCAAGTCAATAACGGCCAATAAGTGAAGAATATGTTTTGTCTAGTTGTAATCCAAAGTAGCAGAAGATACCCTTCCTACTATCATGTGAGCCCCTGAAGATGTTGTTACCCGAAGATAACGGTAATGGTGTCCTGTCGAGCATCCAACCTTACCAAGAAATTTCTTTTGTTTGCATATCCATGTTACCGAATCAGATCGGTGTAACGTGAGGGAAAGCCCATAGTCAATGTCGAATTCTATCAGGAATGAAGGTACCATGTCCAGGGTATCTAGGTATCTGGGTTCGCCAGTTAGATGGATGTTTTCAATATTCGAAATGGATCCCATGCTTCACACTATTGCAAAGTTCCTATTGTCAGCTTGTAGTCTATAATGTCGGAAACCCTGGTGCTATCACATTTTATCTTTCGGATGTCGTCAATTAGTGTTTCCAAAGGCCCAATCATTGTCTGCATGTCAAAATTTCACGTAGCGATCTAGCCGCCCATAAATGTGTAGCTTAGCACTAACCTCACAAAAAAGAAAGCTCCTCAAGGTGAGAAGGCCTTTGAAATCTAAGATGTTAGCAATTGACGCACCGATCCAAAAACTCCGAAACTGATGTGATATGTTCTCTATCGTCTATAACACCCTGCACCCTCAAATCTCACCTAGCACGAACAGTATTGTTTCCAGGTGGCTCATGTGCTTTCTTGGTTGTAGATGCAGAGTTCCCTTGAGGTATAGGGTTTTTCGGAAAGCTGCATATGTTAGCTTGTTCTTCCCCCACAAATATTTGCTTCGTTCAGGTGTATCCGCTTCCCCGTATTATAAAATCTTGGAATCTACTCCTTACTCTATTCTGAATTGATAGCAGTCAACGCCATTTTCTGCAAGAAACCCTTTTCTTGGCAAGTTCCGAGAGGGGAGAAAAGAATTCTCCAATGAACCTAGAATATCACTTTGGAGCGCGAGACATCAGGATGATGAGGCTCCCACAATAACGAGCGTTTGCAAGTGCATCATAGATCGATTGAAATCGAAATGCCGAAAAGAATAGATGTATATCTACTTGGTGGCTACTAAAGAGTATTCTGTTTTGGTAGATATACTTTGAGATATTTTTATCCCCTGTTCTGCTGTCTCTACTATCTCCGCTATCATTCGTAATCTTTCTACCTATCAGGATACTCGCCGCTCATCTGCTTGAATACCCATCAACTCACTGCGAATTGAGTCTTCTGAATACAGCGACAATCTTCTACCGTCACGGAAATCATGAGCTCTTGTGTTTACGAGTAAGTACAAGTGTAAATGCTTGTTGTCTTTGATCCGCCCTGTCCCAGTATCTTTGATGAATTTCCATTTCTCATTATTTCAACATCTTGGTTTCGTTGTACATTTCTCAATACTCCATCATACCTGATTCGTTCTTTGCTTCTTTCTCTCTAGTCCGTTCTCAATACTCTGTGTCATGTATCACAGTCTCTTGATACTCACTCACAACCCATCAAGTCTAACAAAATCGCCAGACATGCATCTTCAGGGATCGTCACCGTAATCGTGGGTCCAGAGGGCCGACCATTCTTCTTCCATGAGAGTCTTCTCTGCCAAAAATCTCCTTGGTTCCGGTCCCACCTCGAGAACCAAATGACTGAAGATCATAACCATGATTCCGCCGTTGAGCTCTCGCCTATCGAATCGTCATTCCGAGACTATCAGCAAATTCAACGAAAAGTAATTTACCGCTACGAAGATGACATCCACACCTTCAACCAATTCTTCAGTTGGATCTACGGATCCATATACCCGCTACCTCGACGTGATCCAGACAACTACTCTAGCTCGACACATATCTCAGAATGGGTTATCCTCCACCAGCTAGCCGTTGAGATGGGAGTTTTGGACTTGGCCCACAAAGCTTTATCCGAGTATGTTCTTTGTAGAGATACGTCACGAACAGGATATTGGATGCCCCTTCCGGCGGAAATCCAATTTATATATCAAAGCCAAGCCACAACATACGATTTGCGCAGTCTTATTGTGTTTAAAATGCGTTGTCTTTATTTTTCAACTGGATTTGCAGGATTACAAAAGGAACTGTCTGATATTTGCGGCTGTCATTCTGATTTTCACTCTGATGTCTTCGCAGAGCTGCACTGGGCCATTTGTTCCAAATGTCTTTGCAGCTCTGCGGACTGCTCTATTCATAATCCACACAACACCAACTACTCTCAAACCCCAGATTCTCCCTTAGAAATCGAGTCACCTCCTCTCCCTTCTTCCGAATACTTGGACGATATCTCTACTCTTGATCTAAATAGCTCACCACCTTATCTATCCGATTGCGATACGACATACACAGAAGAAGAGGACGCGAACTCCGAGCAAGCGCGAAGCGAAGCAATCGCTGAATATCATGAGAGTAGGGGTGTATAAGGTCGATTTTGAATTAGCGAGATGGTTGGGTGTTGATGTGGAAAATCTTAATCTTATATTGGTATTTTTGTCTAGATGATGATAATGATGATGGCAGTTGGTGGATAGTCTGTTCATATGTTAAGTTGGGTTAAGGGTGGGACAGCGGAGCTATGAAATGGAGGCGGTAATTGTGGATACAACCAAATTGGGTTGATTATGCATGCAACAGAATGGAGTGGGACATTCATATAACGGTACCACTTGACGGCGGAGGATGCAAATCATGATTGTTTTGGAACGTTTTTCAAAAGTAGAGCGAGAAGTATTTCTAATATTACAGAATTTAAATTATTCAACTATGTACAACAGAACCCTGTGAGCAAAATTTGTGACTGGATGCAAAGTTACCAGATTGCTCATGCGCAATAGAAGAATTCCATTGCATTACCACTAATAACTTCTAACCATTGTGTAGACGCGACTCATAAATAGAAAGTATGGACACTCCCAGAAATCTTACTATCAACCAAACCAAGCACAACCTCCCAGTCCTTCGTGTCATACAGACTATGGATGCAGGAACGACACACAGGTCAAAGAAGCCAAAGCCCCAGTTTACTCCCGCCATCTTCCTCGCCTATCCTCAACCACCTCTAGCTTCTCGAATTCTCTCCATTCTCTCCTCTTCCCCCTCCCCAATCCTCATCCAAACAGCTTCCTGGAACTCTCTCAGCATACTCGAACTCCTCCGCCAATTCTCCACATAGCTTTTAGTATCCCCTATATGATCCTCACCCACCACATCCCACAATCTCCCCATCTTCGCTATCGCATCAACCAAAGCCTCTCTAACCTCCGAACCCTCCCTCGTCATCCCATAAATCTCCCCCACCTCCTCCCTCGTCGGAATCCCCGGACAGTACTTCCTCTCCCCCAAACATTTCTCAATCCTAGCCAACGTACTCTCACACGCAGCCTCCATCTCAAAATACGCAGCATACTTATACACTTTACACCAAGCCACCAAACACTCTGTATGTCGCTCGATATCAGAAGTCGGACACCCAAGTTCATTTCCATACATATATCCCACCAGATGGGCTATCGCATCAACGACGTAAAAGTGTTCCGGATCAATGTCAGTATCCTCGCCATCCTTATCTTGGATTTTAAAAGTGATGCTTCGCGCGTGAGAATTCGCATTCCATGCTCTGGCAAAGAGTCTAGAGGCGTTGATAGCGATATCTTTGGGGATTTCAAAGACGTGCGAGCGCACCGTGATGTAGATACTCTTAGATTCTTCATTGTTTGGATCATGTTCAGCTAACTCAGAGATGCGGCGGGCTTCTGCTGTGGATTCGACTTCGGCCTGCAGATCAGGAGTCATTGTTGGCGGTGGAGTGTTTCTTCGGGGAGAGTGCCTTTTCTCGTCATGCAGGATTTGGGGATCTGTAATAAGCAAACTGTTTGCAGGGATTTTCGATGCGACTCTTGGTTTTGGGAGATAAGATTAAGACTTGCTGTACTAGCCGCGGAAAGTAGTGTGGTGCTTGAAGGTGAGAGGAAATAATTTGTCTTGGGTAACGCTTGTTATGTTATTTGTGGTAACTCGCGCAAGTGAATGTTTTAGAGCCTGCGAGAAAACTATCGTGCCGATGTTTTGACGAAAGGATCTATGTGGCATAGGATCTCTTTACTAGAGTAGATCATATGGCAATATGGTAATATAGCTAAATTTTTGTAGCAGTATCAGGCAATGAGCTCTTTGACACGGGGGAGGGAGGGGAGGGTTACCAGTGGTTTCTTTTCTGTGGTTTTATTCTTATTATCATTTCCGATTTCTTTGTAAAAGCTTCTTTACTCAGCTAAACAATTGTATTATAATGTAATATAACATAAACGTTAAGTTAACATCACGCAATGAGCCTTTCGATGCCAGGGGAGGGCCACAAGCGCTCTAAAATGACATGTGTAAAGCACACCCGGATTGAGATCAATGATTGAGCATTGTGGAGAATTGTTTCTATGTCTTGCAAGTATATTTGGATGAAGATAGAGAGAGCTATATCTTTCGACACCCACTAGTTCTACAGTACATAGCAAATGAAGCAAGTGAACATAATAGAAGTTGACACCGCGACCACAATCATCTGTGCGAGGCTGAAAATATCTCTGACCTCCCGTTTGATATATATTATCTCAATCCATCTCGTACTTGATATTCCTACTCTGAATCGCACAGGTTGCATCCCATCATCGCAGATCCCATAATAAGATTAAAGACATCAAGTTCTTCCATCTTTTCCTCATCTCCTGGGTGAGAGCAATCCATGAACGGAACCGCACATGATTTGTGTCCTTTGTGTGCCTGACCAGTCTGCATGGTGAACAGAGGTAGTTAGCTAGAAATCTCGTCCAAGATAGAAGACTAGCTGAGACTTACAGGGTGTACGTGAAAGTGGCAGGGGCAGAGCTTAGATCTATGAAGCATACTAAAACTCTCATTTGAGTTCCATGGTTCCGCAACTTCCTTTGAACGTCGACCCATCAGATGGAAGTTTCTGGAAACCCATCTAAGCATTCCTTGGAAGTATCCAGGGAGAACAATGCAGTTCGTCATCACTTCTTGCCGAAGCTTGGTGCAACCACGATCTAGATTAGTACAATGTTAGTGATCGTGCAGATTGATGTGATCCAATGGTAAGAGGATAAAAGTCCGAATACCAGCGGAACAATTTAGGAAAAATGGATTGTGCTTACTCATATGCATGACCGTGCTTGCAATACAAAATTCTCGCAGGGTGGAATCCGACTTCGTCTCTTGCCAAACTTGGGCTGCAAGACCGGGTCCGAAGACAGTTCCAAACTCAAGATAGCCATCTTGAATGGCATCGATGGTACGATTCATCAAATTATGAATTCCCCATCTTTCGGCAAGTGAGTATAAACTGACCAGAGTTTGAAGGCTTCCATTGAACTCTCCGAGGAGCTCTAACTCAAGACGACCAATTTCTACCAGAGATGGTTGGCTTTTGACGTATATCTTGGTTCGAGGCTTTTGAACGGTTCCTGTTTGTGAAGATATTTGTAAGTCATATGCACATTGAATGATTTTCAAACAACGCGCTTGCGATAGGCATAGAACATACCGTTGTAAGCCCAATCAACAAAAAGTTTGAAGACCTTGGGATTCTCATCATTGAGGAAGATCAATCCTTGCTGTCCAGCCATGGTGTCGAATAGTTTGTTGGACTCAAAGTAAGTGGTACACTGTTGAAGTATAGTCTTATGAACAGTGAAGGTTTGACGCTGGGAGTTGATTAAAAAAGGCAATATACTGAGAGATGGAGCAAGGATGTATACCGAGTTACCAATGCCAACGTTGACAGTCATAGTCTCATTGCCTAAGTTCCTGCGTATGTCAACTCATATCTTACCATTTTTAAGCAGGAAGCAATTGACTATAGAGATAATCACTTACTTGAGAAACTTGTTAGGCTTCAGACTATGGCAAGACATGTTGAATGGATCTATAGCAGCGGTGAAATTGTAGATCGTATGCGGGTATTGTGAAATGTGCTCTTGAACACCACAAAGAACGGACTTTGAACGTGAAAAGTGTGTATGGAAGAAAGCCTGAGAAATGTAATCAGATCTCACTCGATTTGAAGTCAAGTCCTAGATTGTGCGACAGTCTCAACGAGGGGATTCTGTTGATCAATAGAAGATTTAATTAAGAGAAGAAAGAAAGGAAGAAGGGAATGGGGAGAAAAGAGTGTAATGTACTTTCATTGAACATGCGGAATGGGAGTAAAAGTAAACGAAGTGTAAGTGTTTGAAGAAACGTAAGATGTTGTCACGTGTATCAGGCAGCATACAAGACTTCGAGCACAAACGAGGACGGAGGACACGCCAATGTGACTGGAGGAAGGAGCGATTGAGTAGGTAATCAAAAGTTCCTTTACCATTGAACCACCAGGTATTTAACAGGTAACAGTTACTTACTGTGTCAAAGTAGTAGTTCTACATCGTTCATGTCATCGACGATTGTAGTCGTAGAGGCTTCGTCAATTAAACTATGAATGTATGCATCCCTCTACTCCGATGAACAGATTGCTAGGTGTCTTCTGTCTCAATTAGATGTATAAGACATATGAGATAACTAGTAAGCGTGCCTTTTATCTGCATAGAACTACTAGGTATTCTCTAGGTACCTCATCAGCAGTACTCATCGAGAGCCATTGCACGTGAAAAAAAGGAGAAACCATTTCATTCGAGACAAAGCTCGATCCGAGTTTCCACCGCTGTCTGAGAATTCTCTAAGTGATGCTTCGTATCAGAATCAAAGAGTTGGTGAAATTGCATGAGATGAGTGCCATTCTCACAATCTTCGCTGTCCTCGGTAGGCCTCGTCGATTTGAGGCGTGCCTCGCTGCATGAAAGACCTCCGGAATAAATCCATTCAACGAGTGATCCAAAGGATTGGTGATGTCTTCGAATTTGAAGAACTGACTTTCTTGTCCATATGCTTCACAATGATCTGATCCTTGAGCATTACGATGCGCTCACAGAATAACTTTTCGCGTACCCAGCGTTCTTTTTCACCCGGTCTAGCGACGACCTGAAGCATGTTCCAATCATTGAAATACTTTCCATAATTTGCATGTTATATATCCGCTCCACTCGTTCTTAAATTGATTTTGAGAAGGTATATATTCCTCTCGCATATTGCACTTTCTCAGAGAAGGAGAAAGATTGTGATTCGAAAGTTTTTGAACGACCGCCATAATTAAGGGACCACGAAAACAGCTGAACTGAATACCTGACCAAAGGCACTGATCCTTTCCTTTGCTTTCCTTGTTTTTGCAACGCGCACTGGAAAACCCCGCCAAGTCGAAGCCTCCCAAAACGGCTTTCGGCTCAAGGTACCGAACGGGCAAACCGGCTATCTGCATCGGCCATCTACATCGGCCGCTTTTGGATGCACGTTAGGAAAAAGTGTATGACCAGCCTTGAATGTATATCCCACTAAGAAATGAGCATTGATGGCCAGAAGGACTTTAGTTAAATAGAAAAATTCAGGAGATTATACCAATTTGCTGAAAATAAGAAGAGGTGCAGGAAGCAATCTGCCAGGTGGGTAGATGAACCTGCTGAAAGGTCCGCATCCGTCTGTACTAATTCAGAAGTGCAACAAGAGGAATCATCAGTATTCCGAAATGTTAGCCAGTCTTTGGCTAATGAAGAATTGGACAAGGTTCTGTTTTGGGTTCAATCAGGGTAGGTACTAAGAGAACCCGCCATTGTCAGTCTACACTGCTAGAATCACGCTAGTTATCTTAAGCCGATCACCTCACCACCCAAAATTGTTCTTAGTATCCAGATTGTCATTGCGTTTACTCCGTATAGTGCTGAACTTCAATATTTATATGATAGCCTCTATTTTTTTTCCTAGGGTCAGTTACTCGTCGGGCCAGAAAGTATGGAACGAGATTCAACCGTTGTGGGGAAGCTCCTTAGTACTCGAAAGAGGCATAAATCATTCATATCGCGCTGAAAACAGTAGGGGCTTCAATATAAGCAAACCATTCAGTTGATTCTTTTTTCCAAATCTCCATTTAATATAGTGGAACTGAAAGAAGCAGTAGATTCTATTGGCCCCTTGATACCGATATCGCTAAGCGTATCTACCGCCTAGCGCCGGAGTTGCAGAGCGACCCCATCTCTAACTTATTAACCTTGAGTCTTGAAACCAAATGTTAACAATAATCAAAAAGACCAGAGTACTCGTACCACCGTCACTTTCCCGTGCAATATCACAAACATACAAGAACCCAGGCATCAAGATGAAAAAATCGCATTCCCAAGAGCACCATCGAGTTCGGACATTTGATCCACGCCAATTGTTCTCCGACGGCACTCTAGTGACTCCCAAGAATATCGTCCAATATGATAAATATAGTGGAATGTCCTACCTGGAATATCCTGAAGCCGATTTTCTTCATCATGAATCCGGAATTTGCTCCCCAACAGCATTAGTGATAGCCATTGATGGTGCTTGTCCTGGCAATGGAACCACACGAGCTCACAAATCCTCCTTTGGCGTGTTTTTTGGTCCAGACTCGCCTCTTAATACTTATGATACTATTACTCGACCATCTGGAGAAAAACATACGAGCAATTATTCAGAGTTAATGGCCATACTTCATGCACTCGAGCTCCTAAAAAATCATAGCGGATTACGAAAATGGATCTCCGAACACCCCATGCCAGTCCACCATTTGCTTAAAGTAGACGTAATCATCATTACGGATTCCAAGTTCGTACATGACTGTCTTACCTTGTGGCTTCCAACTTGGTTGGAGAACGGGTTCAGGACAGTAGAGGGGAAACCTGTGGTAAATAAAGATCTCATTTTACGCATCCATCACATGATCGAGCTACTTTCAAATGATCTCAATATCCAACTCTGGCATGTTAGAAGAGAGCATAATCGAGATGCGGACGAACTGGCTATTCGGGCTCTTCGTACGCAACCTACACACCAGGCACAATATATTGCCTCATCAAGCCTTCAACACTTCAGATCTGGGATTATCCACCGTGCTCCTCGAATAATACATTTGGCGCATGAGATCGGGATTTTTCCTCAGAAGAACTGCATGGAGATGGACTTGGGGGAAATAATCATGTCCATGGTAATAGCTGGAAAAGATCGTGGAGCAAACTTCAAGACTCTCTTTGGACCCGAATACAGGAGTGATAGTTTGTACGTTATGTATCGAAAACTCAGCCGTGCAGTTCTTTACCTTTCTCTAGATGAGCCTGGCCACTATTCATATCCTGATAGTGTCATCTGGATGGCTAGGAGTACATCCATGTACCAACTTGCAGGCAAACATCCTCGACCGATTGACACATACGAGGCCAGAAAGCTACGAAAATGGTGTATTGACAATCGATTATTCTCGGATGGGAAACGTCTCACTTCGCTGTTGGAACTTATACATAGGACTCGATTAGAATTCGGTCTTGACGTCAGTCTCGGAAGTTGGATTTTACACCAATGGATGGAGTCCCATCATTTCAATGGTATCATCTGATACCTAGATTGCCAGATACTTTTTTCGTCACCAGACTCCACAATTATCTGCTTTCTTGCTACGATACGTTTCGACATGAATCTCAACTATCCGAAGGATGTTTTCTTGCTAGGACGCCAGTATTACATACCCCAAGAGATCAAAATTGTACTCTCTTACCACCTCCTGAATGTTCGTCCCCTTCTTCGACAATAATACTATTAGTACCCCTCCTGAGTGCTCTTTCCCTACTTGAACACTGATACCATCAGTACCCTGCCTACACCAACTCTCTACTTGCTATACCATCCCACAGTTTCAGGCTACACGATTCATCCAGCAAGCGTAGATCGCGGCTTTCGCTCTAAAAGAAGAGAGATAAAGAGGAGAAATGGACTCAAACCCCAAACTCCAATCTCCACGCGCAGAGAGAGAATCACACATACTACCCTACCATTTCACATCTCTCCAGCAATAGAAATCCGACAAAAATATACGTTCCCTGAACAATCCATTCGAGGATTCGAGTAAATCATCGCGTCGAGGTTTTTGTCAAAGGTATTCCTTTGTGGAAGGGTGATATGAATAAGTCAGATGGTATGGTTATATAGTGTATGTGCTGTATTAGTCTCAACCAATCACAATTCATCTCCTAATCCTCTTTTATCCTACGGAATCTTGACAAATCCAACGACCCAAGATATTCAAAAACACACAGCTCGTTTTCTTATATGTCACCCCCCCTCATTCCTCCTCATTCCTCCTCATTCCTCCTCATTCCTCCTCATTCCTCCTCATTCCTCCTCATTCCTCCTCATTCCTCCTCATTCCTCCTCATTCCTCCTCATCCCCGCTCCTCGTCTCCTCGTCTCCTCCACACCCCCTTCTAAATCCCCTCCCCTTCCAACCCCCTCCTTATCAGTGCTGCACAAACCGCCATCCTCCACCCCCATCCCCGACTTACAGTCTGACACAACACCCCTTCCCCCTTCTCCCTCAAAAGTATCTCAATATTTCTAAATTCGGCATACCAGGTAAATATCCTCCATACATACCTAGTCTCCCAGAGTGATTTACATTAAACCCCAAACAACTCATCAAAGCCAAAACTAAAGCATATCAATCCCTTCTTTCCATTCATTCATCCATCCAGCTATTCATTCATTCATTTATTTATTTATTTATTCATCTATTCATCTATTCATCTATTCATCTATTCATCTATTCATCTATTCATCTATTCATCTATTTATCTATTCATCTATTCATCTATTCATCTATTCATCTATTTATTCATTCATTTATTCATCTATCTATTAGAATTCTCACGCAAATAAATATAATGATTCGACAATGCGCAGATGAAACGAAGTAAGAGGGAAAGGAGACAATATACATATTTTTAAATCTCGCTAATGAGTTTGGGTTATATATCCATATACCTACCTAGTACACACACAGACATATATATACATATATATACATATCTAGGTAGGTTCCTATGAAATAATATATCAATATAAATCCCAATCCCAATCCAGCATTTCGAATTCCCCCAGCCACAGCTGTAATACCATCCATTATCAATCATCTCCAGTCCACGGCCATTTCAACAATTCTAACAAACCACCTAAAGTATCTCAGATCCCTTGTATGTTGTATACATGTACTAGGTATCTATCGATTCAAGAATGTAATTAGATAGATAGAAGGAGTAGAAATAGAAATAGAAATAGAAATACTCAAATATAAAATAACCTCATAAAATAATCCCCTTTCATATCGATTATCGATTATGTATTTGCTTTCATAAACTCTTATAAATTCTTATAAACTCTTATAAACTCTTGTAAACTCTTGTAAACTCTTATAAACTCTTATAAACTCTCATAAACTCTTATCTCATTCACACTCTCTTCTAATTATAATTATAATCATAATTATAAATATAACTATAATCGTTATTTGTATTCATTATATCTATCCAAATACAGAACCCACCCACCATACCTAGATACCTACCTAGATACCTAGCTAGATATCTATGATTCGATGTTTGAACCCGTATAGAAAGAATATCCATTCCATTCGTCTTGTATTATACATGTACACATACATACACTCATATATACACCCATACACCCATCCATAAAATCCGCTCAAACCTCTAAGCAATAAATTCCTCATTATATTCTAGATCTAGAAAGTATCAAATCTTCCACATCCGTATGTGTATATCTTTGTATAGAGCTTCCCGACCCACTCCCCTCCCCCCACTCCTCCCGAACCCTGATACCCCAATATCAATTTACATTGTGAGTCGGATCACTCCCATTTAAAATATAAAACATAAAATATGAATCATGGAATCACATCCATACATGTACATTCGAAAATTAAAATTAAAATCAAAAACGAAAAACTTCACACGCCTTGACCTCTCTAACAAGTAGGTATACAAATGCACCCAAATATCCAATTCCCTAACCACGTATCTCATAGCAGATACGTATAAAGTAGTACTGTCAAAAGATGAGGAGGCATTTCTCATTAAGATTATCTAGCCCGTCTTCCCAACCATCTATGTCAAACTCCATTAAACATTATTCCCACTCGCACGAACTGCCATCTTTTAGGGTATCCGATGCTACGACTGCGGCCCGATGATCATATCTATCGCTGGTCGAATATGTCCAGAAGATGAGAGTAATCGAAGAGGTTGAGTGTATCTCGAATCTTTAGTTGTTTCCGGAGATTCAGAGCTCTTGATTTTCAGAATGCAGCCTGCAATAATGAAAACAGGCTTCGTTAATATCGAATACCCAACTCATTAAAATTTCTCATCAGACACTCTCTCCAGCCGGTAGCATCGAAAGTAATTCCACACAACTCAAATCTTTCTCGACAACAGACACTCGTCAACCGGTTGTTTCAATTCCTTCTCTTCTTCACCACAATACCACCCCTCATCAACCAATTCCTGTTCTTTCCTCCTCCACGAAGAATATTTACTAGCCGATTTATAGTCGAGATCTCCCAAACGAGCTTCTACAACCTGTGAATTTTTATCCATACGAATGTATAACGAACAATCTCTGAGGGTCATGGCCACGCAAAGTTCATGCGATGCCTTTTCCGACTTCAACGATCCTTTACCATCATACTCTGTTTGGAGATCGCGAAGCCGTTTTAACAAGGGATTTTCGTGGATCCATTTTGCAAGTGATTGAACGGCAGGTGATTCACGAGTTTTGTGTAATATGTGTGAAGCGGATGCCTCATAATTTGCAAACTTTAACTTGGGGTGGTCATCGGTAAGTTTGAGTGGACAGAGATATGATTGAAGATCAGTATTTTTTCTTTCTTCTCCAAAAGCAATCCGACGTGCGTGAAGTGCACAAGTACGACATCTTATGGCTTGAGATGGCATTTCATGGGATGGAGAGAGCCATTTTGGTTTAAATTCTACGACGGTTTCTTGTAATGATTTCCCTGTGAATTTATCAATACACGCGGCGACAAAAGATAAAACTATCAACGTACTGGGTGTCATATCTGTTACCAAAAGACCATAATCGTCTTTTGCTAAGAAAGTACCACTTTGTGCTCTCGAACGATAAAATTTCCCTATGGGTGGTGGGGCGAGATGATTCGAGGTAGATGTACCACCGGGATTATCAAAACGTCTGAGATCGGTGTTTAATCCAGGAATCACGTTGAGATGACCGATGTAGACCAATTCTTGGGTAACTAATTGTTCTGGCTCGAATAGGGGTAAGATATATCCGAGCCACTGCTGATGTGAATCTGAAGTTGGGGCTGTAGTGGGAACATCTTTCCGAAGACGTAATAATTTTCCTGGAAATCATTTAGGACCATGGTGAAGTTATAGCGTTAAAGTATGAAGATACATTGTTTCATACAATTTGTCGCAAAGGAAGTGTAGAAAAAATTACCAGAGAGATATTCTAATTCTTGATGACCCTTGTCCAGTTCGGCAATGTCTTGTGATCCTGGATCAAGCGTGATTTGATATATGACATTTGCAGCCCCTTCTGCAAGAACTTTGATACTGATATGGCTGTTGGGGAGACGATAAGGAAGTGATAAAGTATTCATTATTATTGGATTTATATCAAATTAATTTGAATGGAAAATTGGGGAAAAGATGACTGAGAAATGACTGAGCTGAGGAATGAGTGGAACAAGAGAAGAATAGAAACCGGATTGGGTCTTATGAAATAACTGGAACGAATGAAACTTACTAATAAGTAATGCGTCATATCAGGGTTCTTCCGTTCACCGTAATCAAAATTTGGCTTAAGCGCAAATGACGCTTGGACTTTTAGTGGTGGAGGAAAAGACAAGCTGAGTCAAGAAGTTGGGATGAAGTGGTTGGTATGAATGTATGGGAGAAAAGATAATGGCCTATAGGGAAATGGACGTGAAAAGAATTTCAGTAAAAGAGTTCGAATGGGATGGAGATGGAGATGGTGATGGTGATGGAATCAAATAATGATGAGAATACATCTCGAGGTACAATAATAATATTACCTAGCAGCAGTAATATAAAAGTTCGTAGGTATTGAATCGAACTACCTAGTATATTGAGCATTTGGACTTGAAGACCGTACGATGTGAAGGCCCGCAGAATAACGCAGAGACTCTCAAATTGAGCTCAGTCATTCCCCATGAATCAAATGTCATCTCGACTAGACTAGAGACCAAGGAAAAGAAGTGAGATTGAATGAGATGGCTGGCTATTATGATGCTGAGAGAACATGAGATGTTATCATCATATTCACATATGAAAGCTTGGGTGTGTGAGCGAGACATGTAGATTCATAGACCTGGTATCACGGGAGAAGATGGAGGATGAAGAAGATGAGGGCGAAGAAGATGTCTCCTCCGCTTTGTTCCAATGTTTCTGCCAGAGTCGCCCTTCAAAGGGATAGAAATCTCGGTGTTATTGATGTTGTGATTTGAAACCGAGATCTGTAATACGATAGTGTATACTGTATTGATACTGCAAAATCACATAATAACACTTCATAGCTTCTCCGCATGTACCCCCGAGGTTGGCGATAGTTGAAGGAATGACTTTGAAGAGAAATGATAAGAAAGCTGCATGAACGGAGATGGTGGGCTAGATTTTGTATAGAGCTTTCTATATGATTGAGTATCCATGTTCGTTTGAAGAGTCAAGGGAGGGGGAGGTGAGAAGATGAGGAAAGGTGGAGATGCGGAGTATGAGATGGACTACATCAAACTAAGGACTCTTGACTGAGAAGCGATATGACTGATGAATGTCAGTGACTTTCCATTCTCTATACCCAGGACTCGTAGATATCTTCGAATACTTTTGACAACTGGGGGTAATAAGTGTATTGTTACCAATTCATCCCATATATCGAGGATGGAAGTGTTGATGATCAGATGAAGTAAGACAGATGCTGATCAATGTGTAAGGTTGTAATAAAAGTCCGATGTCAATCAAACATACATGGGACGAAAGGAACTGGGGGGATGTGAGAGAGTGAATATTAAGATGCGAGGATGCATAATCAATTAATTATGCAAGGAAATTGACCTGGTGAACATTGGATAAATGATGAGAAACAGTAACGATGATTTTCCGGGATGGGATCATGGAGTAGAAATTCTCATCCAATTTCCGGGAAATTCCTTGTTGGTTTTTCAATAGAAATTTCTTTCTTTTTTTCGATTTCTTTTTTATCTAATATTTATTTATTTACGAGATGACGGGAGGGGCTCGGGAGTCGGGAGGCCGAGGAGAGAAGGAAGAGAAAATAAGAGGGAAATCTATGGTTCACCAGGTTCACCAGTTCTGGGTCTCATATTATTAATCAATGGGAGTGAGTGAGTGGTCAGAGCACATTTGAGTCTGTGAGTTGAGGTGAAGTGTGAATCCAGTGAAGGGAAGGGAAGTGAAGTGAGGGGAAAGAAATGAAAATCAAAAAAATATGATGACGAAAGTTAAAAGAGAAGAGAGAAGTCGGGGATTTAATATATTGCTGTCATGGTCATGGTAAATAGATCAATATTGAAGATGTAATATATACTACATACCTAATATATATCTAGATAATACCCATTACTATAATAATATATAATATATAATACACAATATACAATATACAATATACAATATACAATATACAATATACAATATACAATATACAATATACAATATACAATATACAATATACAATATACAATATACAATATACAATATACAATATACAATATACAATATACAATATACAATATACAATATACAATATACAATATACAATGGTTACAATAAGAAGAAACCACAGCCGCCAGCATCAACACCACAAATCTTACGACGTATATGGATTTTGATTCTCTATCGTCGTATCAAATGCATTTCCGGACATCGGAAAAATGGGATTCATATTCCATCAACAGTCAACAGGGTTCATACGGTTACAGGAAGCGAGCTACAAGAAAATCCAGCGAGGGAGAAATGCGGAATGAAAAATTTAACTCTGACTGGGTAAGCAAGAGGAGCTTCACTATCACTTTTTATATTCAGGAACCATATCTTGTCCTCTCATATACACACACACATACACACACACACACACACACACACACACACACACACACACACACACACACACACACACACACATACACACACGGAACAAGAACATTGAATATTCATCTCATCATCAAGTTCATATTCATATCATAAAATTCAATCCCTTCATCCTCTTCTCTTCTCTTCCTCTTTCCTTCTTTATCAAAACTAAGAGGATTAGCATCAACCCGTTACGTCACACGATCATCAAATCCATCCATCCATCCATCCATCCATCAAAAAGCCTTTTTTGCTCGCACGATCAAATCCATCAAAAATATCCTTCGACTCGACATCTCCTTCTATGAAGCTCCAGTAAGCTCAAATCAATCACGAACTTCATCGACATCGACCAGACCTCCTCGAACGACCTACTCTTGCGTAGGAACGTTTTGATCGTCGACATCTAATGTCATATCAAGATGGCTTTCAATTTTAACTGGTCGCCTCTCACGGCCGATGCGGAATTTTATCAAAGAGCTCAAGAGATGCTCACGGCAGCTCTCAATAAATCTCCCAAGCCTCCCATCATAAAGGATGATATCCTCGTCAACGAATTAAATTTGGGTTCGGTCCCGCCAGATTTGGAAATATTGGAGATTGGAGATTTGGCAGAAGATAGATTTAGGGGAATCTTCAAGATGTGCTATTCTGGAGACGCTTTCTTGACTTTGAAAACAAGAGTTCAGGTACGTTGATTGTCGTCTTTTTCGTCGCTGTCGTCATCGCTGTCGTCGTCGTTACATTTCCCATTTTACCTATTCCGCATAAACCTTTATTCTCCCACTTTTGTTGAAACCTTTTATCGAACGATAAATGAGTTGTCATTGCAGAATTGTCGACGCGCATAGAGGGGAAAACGCCTTTTAATTTCACCACTTGACTTGCATATCGCACATGCTTGACACAAACCTATAATGCATAGCTAATATATCAATATAGGCTAATCCGCTCAACAATCATTTGTTCTCGAAACCTTCATTCACATCTCCACAACCCCTCGCCGCAGATGCGGGGCTCACCATCCCTTTACAAATTACTTTGTCGGATATCAAATTATCGGCTTTCATCATTGTGGTATTTTCAAAGTCAAAGGGATTAACCTTGGTCTTTCGAAATGATCCCCTCGAATCCCTCAAGGTCTCCTCTACCTTTGACTCGATACCGTTCATTAAGGATTATCTACAGAAGGAAATCGAGCAACAGTTGAGGACTTTAATGATGGATGAATTGCCTGCCATTATTCACAGATTGTCATTGAGATTATGGTGTCCAGAATATAGAGCAAAAGAAGATCAAGAGATGGCCGAAGCGGCAAAGAAAGCGAAAGACGAGGTAGCCGTAGATCCATTTGCAAGTCCACCACAAGATGCCGTCGATGCCCGTGGAAATGTTCTAGATGCGACTGAGATTTCCAATTTATCATTGGATGGTGGATCAGAGATTCATTCCTTGTTCTCACAAAAGAACTTACTTCGATTAGCGGCACTTACCAATTCTCATCGAACATTGTCACTCTTCACTCCTTCTATCCGAGACGCGGTATTTCGAGCATGGGCACCTTCTGAAAGAGGGGATTCGGCTGGAACTACCACACCGGCAACTTCATCTCTTCATAGGCCTCAATCATCGCTCGGAGGTCAGAGTACAACTTATACATTCTCGAATAGAAACTCCGATGATGGTCACGGTGGAATACCATCCAGACCATCTCTGGTCAATATGAATTCGGCCACAACAGGATTAAGTCTTGGTGCAAATCGAGGTTCACGATCACATCCTACGAGGAAGAAGAAGAATAGGGTGGTGAACTTGAGAAAACCCAAAACTACGGATAATGAGAGTGGCGAAAGCGAGTCTGCTCCGACGACTACAGCATCCGAATCAACTGTCCCATCTCGTATTCCAGAGGAGCCAGAAGATCTTCCAGTCACTCCACCATCCGGAAAGGTCCGATTCAATAGCATTGATCTTGGAGACTCACCAAAGAAACTTCAACCATCTCGTTCTATGACACCCGAACAAGTCAAAATGGATCAAGTTCCAACACTCACTGTGGAACCTTCTACTCCAATCAATACACAACAACAGAAGCGTCCCGCTTTTAATCAGTCAGCGTTCACTTCGTACACTCCAGAAAAGTCAGCAACCACTCCACCACATACACCATTCTCATATCCACATGGACTCCACTTCTCGACAACCGAATCACCATCCGGAATTCTCGAACAAGCTTGGATTATGAAGATGGCTTCTGAACTTGCTCGTCGTCAACATGACGACAAAGCAGCTCGTCAAGGTTTCTGGTCTACATCAAGCAATGGAGATGATGCTCCCCCAGCTTATGAACCAAAAGCCTTGTAATGTAGGCTTATTACACTCAATTTAACCCGTGTATAACATCTCGACTCTTTCCTTTGTCAATCATTTCACGGGAGTTTTATGGGAATAATTACGGACTTACGAACACTCCACTCTTTTGTGTTTTTGGAAGTACCTAATATTGATAAAAACTTTGGTGCTGCGATTTAGCGACTTTACTTTTTTTTTGCTGGCAAAAGATATGCTGTACCTCATGGGAGGTTTGGCATAATTTGAATGTTTGGATTTTGGAATGGGTTGGGTTAGGCAGGATAGGGGATCGTATATCAATATTCTGGGTGGTTTCGGTGGTAGGTACACAAAAGTTTGTTCTTGAGGATTGTTTCGTTGTGAGCGATTTGGTTGCTTAGGGGTTGTTGAGTCCTGATTTTCGAATGAGGTTTTGTGTGGGTTGATGTGAAAAGGGGGAGAAGTGGAAGTTTTGAATTTTATATACACACGGGACTTTACGATTCCTTTCCTTGCAAATCGTTTTGAGCGATACTTTTCGCCTACTCACGAATTTCTTTTGTCTTTGCCACCTTGAAGATACCTTTCTTGTTCTGGTGCCGGTTGTATGATCATTTTAGAGATGAGACTTTTGGGGAGAAAGATTGAAGGGATGAGATAGATAGAGTACAATTATACCGAGATCTATGTTTATTCGTTTTATGTGTTTGAGAGTTGTGATCTTGTGAATGTTGAGTGAGGTCAATATCGTACATCTGTTGTGATTGAATTTGCAATCACAGAATAAGTTTTCCGGGTTATAGATCATATATCTGATATGGAATATCTGATATCTGACATCTGATATCTGGTATCCAGGGAGTTAGGGAGTTAGGGAGTCCAATTATCTGGACTCGGGGGACTGCATATATATGTATAGTTCAGCGATCAGAAACTTTGGAATATTGAAGGGGTTTTGGGGGATGAGAGGGAGATGAGAGGGAGGAGAGAGGGAGGAGAGAGGGAGGAGAGAGGGAGGAGAGAGGGAGGAGAGAGGGAGGAGAGAGGGAGGAGAGAGGGAGGAGAGAGGGAGGAGAGAGGGAGGAGAGAGGGAGGAGAGAGGGAGGAGGGAGGAGGGAGGAGGGAGATATAGATATAGATATTGTTTATTAATATTTGGAGATTTATGTGTGTGTGTGTGATAATTAACAGTGTATTTGTGAATTTGTGTAGGTAGGGAGGTATTTGTAGGATAAGAGGAGGTTGGATAAGATGAGGTTGGATAGAAGGGGATGGGATGGGATGGTAGATTTGAGCTGAGTTGAAGATTTTGAATTTGATTTTGAATTTTTTTGGGTTGATTTGATTTGGGTTGATTTTGGTTGGGTTGAGGATTTGATATTCTGATATTCTGATACCCGAACAATCTCTATTCTTGTATTGTGTGTGGTGTGGGTTGCCAATGGATTGGATTGGATTGGATTGGATTGGATTGGATCGGTGAGCTAGTAAGCTGGCGAGCTGGCGAGCTGGTATGTTGATTAATAGGTGTAGGCATATATGTATGTGGTATGCGGTATATAGCATGTAGTCATAAATAAGTTGGCGTGCTGATTGATAGATATACTAGGTACTTATTACTACCTATCCAGCTAGTGAGTGGATGAGTCGATGAGTGAGTGAGTGAGTGAGTGAGTGAGTGGAGAAACAAACTAATGTGCTGGTATTGCACTGAGACAGCTTATTAGTGTGTGGATGTGCTGATGGGATACTGTAAGTTGATGTGTGACTGGGATGGGATGGGATGTGATGGGGTGTTGATGAGGTAGTGAGGTAGTGAGTTCATGAGCTGGTATGCTATTGTGTTGATATATACTCACTCCGTAGATCATTGTATTAGTTGGTTGGCAGTGAGCTATCGAGGTTGAACTAAGAAGGCGGTGGACTGATGAATTCATGTAAGCGAGGTGTCTGATTCCAAGCGAAGTTGAGATGAGCTGAGTATTCTACCTACCTACCTACCTACCTACTTGGATATCATTACCTCAAGATGAAATTTTTGATTATCTGAGGAGTTGCGGATAGATAGATACTAGATACCTGGTGGACTGGAGTAGGAGTTGGAGTAGGAATATGTGTAGAAGTAGAATTATGCATGTAGACTTTTCATAGGATACATACAATATAGGTGTCAAGATGCATACAAGACGTGAATGAGTTTCTTCTCTTCTTCACAAAAATCCAATATGTGCGTCTGAATCCCGACTTTCTATCTACTCCTCCTAATTACTTTCTTCCACTCCTGTAAATTGACATACATCAGGATGCTATTCTGATATCTATCTTGAATATCCTCCTCGTCATCGATTCCTATTGTACAATCTCTCGCCTCATTTTACATACTTAAAAGACCTTAGATATTGATTGCCATGTTGTAAATGGTGCTCACTCATGTCTTGGTCGAGCGTCTGATGATGGCCTGTGGATCCATTCTTCCTAATCCAACATTTCCGCGCTCAAAGTACAGTGCCAATTTCGCCAAAGTTCGATCTCCTTTATCCCACTCTCTTTGAAATATCATCCTTGTGACCTGTGCGCTGTCCGGAATAGTGAGAAGGGCCTTTTGACAATTGAAGCCTGTGCAGTAATGCGCCGATACTCCAATCTTATGGATGTCCGAATAGGTTCGCAAAACTGCTTAACCCGTTGTGCATGTATGACTGGGCACTCATTTCGACGTCTCCCAAACCCAATCGATGATTCGTAGAGCCCGAACACAATTGTCATTCCCATCCCCATTTCCATTTCATCCCCATTATCAAAAATACACCGCCTCATAACTTTTCCAACTCTGCCTTTAATCTTTTTACTTCTTCCTCCTTCTCCCTTAGTTCTTTCCTCAACTCCTCATTCTGCCTATCCACCGTTTTCTTCCCTTCCACTAACTTCTTAACCTCTGCCCTCTCCCCATCCTTACTAAATGGTTGCCCCGGTCTCTGCGTCATCGGTATAAAAACAGTTCTCTCCCCCACACTTCCTACCATCCCTCCTCTCATCGTCCTTGTCGCCTTCCCCTTTCCCCCATTATTCTTCTCCCTCGGTACGGGATTTGTCAAAACCTCGTAGAATTGTTCATAAGGTTCATTAAAAACCATCTCATCATATACCCAAGACCGAACCTCATTATCTCGATTTTGTATAAATTGTAGTTGATCATCGCCATAAGGTTCGAGTACCAGTCGATGCCAGAAACTTTGGGCTTTTTCGTTGGCGATGGGATCGTAATAGATTTTTATTTGAATATCAAAACCACCCCAACCGGTCTCCGTTACTTGGAATGGATCGCCAGGTTTGACATTTTCGACTGCTAGAATTATGGAAAGATCGGTTAGCACATGGTTTTAATGTAAACACAAGAGTACTCGAATTATAGTCGATAGAGAGGGCGGCGCAAAGACTTGCGCAAGTTGCCAAACACAAAAACAAGAAAATACATACATCTGAGATGCTGCGGGTAAGTATCGTGCAGTTTAAATTGTACCTTTCGACACCAATATGTAATATCCACGTCATCAACTCCCTTTACAAATACCGTCCATTGATGTGTATGTTCCTCTGGCGTTCCCTGTGGTTTTGGATATTTCGCACTGAATTTGTGAGATGTGGTACCATATACAAAGGGTCTATAGATTGAGACACCTTTTGTACGTTTTTGTGTATTTGGTGGTGCCATTCTTATTGTAAATCGATAGATAGGTCACGGTGGTGATGTTGTTGTTGATGAGGGGCAGATTGAAAATAACAAATAAAGATTTAAAGTCGCGATTCGGGATTGAAAGTCTCTAGGTCGGTCGATAATTAAGGTTTAAGCTAATCTAGTACATACATCCCAGACTCTATTACTAGCCCAGGAAAGGACTAGATCATTAGTGTCAATGATCATATACTGACGTCTACAAGAATACGATGGACGGGCTTTAAAAGATCCGATGAGTACCAGGGTTGAAAGAATATCAAAAGATCGAGAATACAAAATCATCAGATGTTTTTCTTTTCATACCTCTCTTGAGTAATCTTCTATAAGAAATAACGAATCGACGTCAAATATTCAGTTATGTCAGTTACCAAGAGAATAGTGGTTTGTGGTGGGAATGGATTTTTGGGTTCCAGAATTTGTAAATCCGCGGTTGCAAGGGGATGGGATGTTACTAGTATTAGGTGTGTTGAAAGCTCGAGTTCGGAGCTCTATTGCCCCTCCATCTCCTGCCATTCTCACCATTCTCACCAGCCCTAGATTCCAATACTAACATGACCTCTAATTCAGTCGATCCGGTGAACCAACTTGGTCTTCAGTATCATCTTCTTCCACACCACCCGCATGGTCTCATAAAGTAACTTGGGAACGCGCCGATATCCTCAAACCATCTACCTATGCTCCCCTCCTCAAATCTGCGGACTTTGTCGTCCATTCTATGGGTATCCTTCTTGAAGCAGACTACAAAGGTGTCATATCTGGTCGCGAATCCCCCATCTCCGGTCTCTCTCGCGCATTTTCTTCATCCAAAGCGGGTTCCCAAAATCCCTTGACTCGTCAACCAGGCGAGGACTTACATTCTCAAGAGAGAGATGGCCAAATAACCTACGAACTTATGAATCGAGATTCTGCCATTACACTCGCTTCTGAATCCTATAAAGAAAATGTCCCCGCATTCGCATATATAAGTGCAGCAGGCGGAGCACCAGTTTTACCTCAAAGATACATAGATACGAAGCGTGCGGCCGAGAGTACGATTGCCAGCGAGTTCCCAAAGATGAGAAGTGTGTTTATTAGACCTGGTATGCTATACGATAGTTCGAGGAAGATTACTATGCCATTGGCTGCGGCGACAGGCTTGGGTGCTGCGTTCAATGGGCTCACGGGAGGAATATTTGGGGGAATCATGGGGGCTGCTGGTGTTAAACCACTCAAGGCGGATGTGGTCGCCGAAGCTGTTGTGGAGGCATTGAGTGAGGAGAGTGTTAAAGGTCCTGTTGAGGTCAAGGAGATTGAAGAATTGGCCGAGAAAGCTTGGAGAAAGGGTATGTTATAAATGAATAATGATCGAAAATTGCCTATTGTGGCTTTGTATTTGTATGTTAAACTATAGAGTGTTTGAACAGCTCAGCACAATCTATTTACCCAATCCCTCATAATTATATAGCTGTGCCACGCTCAAAACTATCTCTAACTTCCGCAGTGTACTGGAAAAGAGATTAGCAAATGTAAAGAAAAGAGAATGTGAAATATGCTTACCTTATTGTAAAACCTCGACAGCTTCTGGTTGAACTGCTTGTTCTTATCGTTGATATAAGTAACATCTCCATCCTCTCCATTTGCAGCATTCCTCGCCCTTTGTTTCTTCAACCTTGCCTCTTCCGCCTGTTGCAAGTCCTTAACCAATCTATCCACAGCCGCCTTCTCTGGTTTGTGTTCTACAAATCCTGTTGAATCAGCCGTACTGTAGAAAGTTCCATCCTTATCGACAGCAACCAATTCTCCATCATCTGTTTCCACAATCTCTAGTCCTCCCGATGCAGCGGCTTTTTCTACAGCGGCCATCTTCTCCTTTTCATAGAAATCCATATCGGGCTTTAGATCGCGGATTTGTCGTTTGTAAACCTTTCGACTATCTTGTCGATAATCTTGGAATGCTTGATCATCTCGATGCGCCTCCTTTTTCTTAAGTCGTTTATCCCATCTTTCACTTTCTTCAACAGTCCAATCCCAAGCTCGTTTGCGCTCGAAATCTTCGCCAGCAGCTTCGGCGTCGGCTTTGAGAAGATTGTGGGATGCGACCGCAGATTTGCGGTTCAAGGATGTGAGGAGATTGGGATCGGTGGCTAGACGTTGCGATTCGAGAGTAGCTTCTTTGAGATTTGTTTGTGCGGAAGATTTTGCGCGAGCTTGAAGAGCTTTGAATCTTTCTTGTCGTTCTTTGGCTTTGGCGGCGGCATCTGAGGTGGAAGAGGATGAGGTTGATGGTGTGGGCTCGGCGGTTTTCGTAGGGATCGATTCTGATGGTATCTCTGTCGGCTCTTCTGCGTTGGTTGTGGCATCGAGTGGTTGTACTTCCTCTGATGATTCAGCTGTTGCGCGGATCTTTCTCTTCTTTGCTGGTGGCATTTTCAAGGTTTGTGATAAATTTGCGTTTTGAAGATTGTAAATCGGGTTATGATGCTTTTTGATGATCTCGAAATAACTGCAAGGACCCAACTAAGTTTGCGTTTCAATCTGGATGGATGTTTGCGGTTTGTGTAGGAATGATGGAATAGATAGTGGTTGTTGTCGTTGAGAAAAGAGCCTAGAGGCGGACGCTACTGAAATGGCTGTTTTGCTGACTAAGATCCTGTCCCGTACTGCTAATGTTACCCCGGATTTACTAGAGCTAAGGTAAGTGGAGCTTTCGCTGTTCACATTGCCATTAGCCGTTAGCTTCCAATACGGAATAATCAGCTGTTATTTATTAATTCAATCCATATCAAGACGCAACTTTGAAAGATTTACGCACTCTTCGCGTTGTCTCAATATCCTAATCATGAGTTGCCAACAAGTGACATTTTCATTATACCGGCGCACTATCAAGTCCTCCAATTTCCCCGCAATCTCGAAATTCACTAAACGATTCAAAGTTTACAAAAGTGCAGAACCGCTGGTCCTCCCAAGAGTAGTAATCGACCTCGACGCTCCTGATAATCCCGCCGTACGCGACTACGACGAAATTAAAGACAATGTCCTAACACCATTTCAACAACAAGTTGTCAGATCAACGGAAAAGGCCAAAACTAGACGTGCAAAACTAGTTCGAAAACAATTGGAACTGGGAGTTGAGGGATTTCCTCGCAAAGGGGGGAAAAAGAACCAACGAATTAGAGATCAATCTCTAGAACATGAGTTAGCATATAATCCAGATGCTTCCCCACCAACTGTCACAGCTATGGATCTTATGACTTATGCGCTAATGGGGAATCCATTCATGGCTAAGACTTCAAAGAAACCACCTCATGTGAGGGATGTACATATGGAGGGTCTATTCGTGGCTCATAGTATCGATTTCAAGGATACAGCAAATATGACGATTAGGGCTTTGACGGAGGACTTTGATATTTCGACGGATGGGCAGGGTGGGGAGAATGTGGATACAGAAGGGAATCGAGAAATTGTGAGGAAACGGAAAGAAAGAAGCAAGATGCTGGAAATTGGCGAGGTAAGCATCGAGGGGCGGAAGGTTGAGATACAGTCTCAGGAAGTCAACTGGGGATAGAAAGGCACTTGAGAAATGGAATGAAAATTTTAATCTCGACTATGGAAAGGTCGGAGAAGGAGCCAAATAAGAACCAGATCAGCTTTTACCAATCAAGCGCCAAAATAGTTTTTAAGCTATCAAAATTTCCAAATATATGTCTAATCTTCCAAGAGTACTTACCCACAGACTTATGTTCGTATCTGAAGGGCCTCAATGGAAGCTCGGTGAGTCTTCATAAATATCTTGTTATTCGAACTCGTACCTAAACATTAGCCTAGAATTTGCTCTGATTACTAAAACATTGGGCACCAATCTTCGGAACGGAACTATTTAGAAGATAGTTACTCAAAAGTACACGTATTGATGTTATTATGGAGCATGGTTTCCGTAACTATATGAACGCAGCGAGCGGAAATTTACAATGCAGAAGTTGGAATAGTAACAGAGCTTCGTTTCAGGAGAAGCTCGTAATCTATGCTGAAAGAATGCATCTGCGGTGACTTCGTAGAACGTTTCTACTTAAGTTGGTACGGAACGCTAGCTCTATACACTTAATGATCATAAATCCTCGTCACAAGATGATCATCACAGCAATAGCTCATCTACGAGACTTGGCAGTTTCGACAAACCGGGTCAGCCATACAGGAAGAACTAGTTAAAAAATTCAATGGTAACTTTTGAACATATGTAATTTCCCATTGACACTCATCTTCTCCTCACTTACTGCTCGAGAATCATAATTTCCTCAACCTCAGTATCTCAGCCTTATTTTCCTCGTTACTATGACAAAAATTGCCGTAATTCCTCCCTGAAGCTCGCCCTATCTCCTTTCATTTTGAAGATCTGCTAGCAGAGATCATCTCAAATCGGTATCGGATCCGGATTCCAGTACATACAGTAAGATCCAATTACCCAAGCCACAGTCCCAAGATCTCACATCAGCAGTCATTAGCTTCACATTGATCTCACACACTCATGTAAATCCATAGCCTCATCGTACATATATACCACTTCCACCATCTCGCAGCCTTACTTGATTCGTTGGCGTGCCGAAACTCATCCCAGTCACCGCTATCCTCGAACTTCTCACCGCGCTTCGGATCTCAAGAGATTCAAGGGGACCCCGAGTCAACTCGAAGAAAATTCATTGCATAAAAGCTGATACTGCATCAAGTCTCGATTTTCCAGGGATCAAAAAGCTAGGCAGCTTTTCAGCTGGAGCTGCGGGCGTTTGATATATCGCTAATTACTTCTTCCGGAACATGCACGTCAGACCAGGGAGGCGGGCGGAAAAGTAAATTCGGTACGAAAGCTCCGTGCACTGGTAGGGCTTAGAGTGTCAATTCTCATTGCTTATTTCTACACAGCATATGCAACGGGCTATTCCTTGTCAGAACAAAACCGGGAGCGAGATCTAGTCGTCGTGTATTTTACCTGCGGCTCAAGGAGATGGGGTTGGGAGGAATAACGTGGGGGTATGTGAAGGAGTGGCACGAGCTCGACACCCTCCCGGAGATAAATATGCATGTATTATGCAGTCGTTATTTTTGCAGATGGGTGAAGAACCGACCAGTGATGTCAGATGAGTTTTTAACGATTACTTCGCAAAGCTCTTTAGAACGGCAACATACACTTCAGGCTCACAGTAAAGAATAACCAATCGAAATGTGTGTTTTATAACTAATATTTGCAGAGATTGAAATAGCTATGGACAATTTGATGTAAAAACATAAGGTATGAACAAGTGACTGCAGGAAATTGCTCGCTCGCAGAGATATGGAAGAATATGAACAGAGTGAAAAAAAGAGTTCGTGACGTCGTTATGGATATTCAAAATCAGATCCCAGCTGAAACAAAGGTGTGAAAACGTGAAAACTGAAACCGGCAGATGGGAATGGGTATATATGTGTCCCATTCTAGATAGCATAGTGAAAATGAAATAATATGTAATCCGACGAAGATTGAAGAATATAGAAAAGAAGAAGAAATGGGAATGAATTATTTGAACCATTGCTTGAGAAAATCCGATATCGTTCGTAACTTCGTTGATCATGGAAAGAAAGAATATGTCCATATTCTGTATTCAAATTCATATCCCAAAACATAAAAATGAAGAAGTCATAAAACTATAACAGAAAAATCATAGAAGTGAAATATTCCAAGAACGATAGGTATCGTTGATTCCCGGTCGGGTAGAAATGGTAATGAGGGTAAACGAGCGAACCCCTAAACGTATGGTAACCGTAAATTATCTAAATCTATTAGTTAACTTTTTTCCCCTGCGAAGCCGAGTTGGACTCACAGGTTACTGAATAGCTATTGTTGGCCGCCACCACTGCCCGGTTCATATGTATCCTGGGGCTCGTAATTATATCCTTGTCTTGTGCTGTTCGTGTATGATTGGTGCTGCAATGTGGAATATTGCGATGGGGGGTATTGTGACGGAGGGTACTGTGGAGGGTATTGTGTTGGTGGATATTGTGCTGGTGGGTATTGTGCTGGTGGATATTGTGTTGATGGGTATTGTGTTGGTGCTGGCTGCCCTGTAGCACTGTATCCTCCGTATTGATTGAAACTACTGGTGCCGATATTGTACCCTGTTCCTCCATGATCTAGTGCTGATGGAGACATGGTATTACCATAACCTAAGGTAGTAGGTTAGTTCGACGCGATTTTAAAGCTAGGGACATTTGAAGAAGTACCTGGCATAGTGTAGGGAGGAGTACTATATGGGTTGCTCGCATAGTATGAGCTTGGTGCAAGTGCTTGAGTTGATAGACTCAACGGTGGATGAGCTTGATTGTAAGATTCTGTAACCGCTCGCTGGGAACCCGGATCGATCCTACCGATAAACCAGACCTTAACATTATACTCCACGGTATAAACCTTGTGGTAGTTAATTCGTGATGCGGCTTCAAGTTTGTGCTTGTTTGAGTCTGGTGTCATTTTGACTGGACGATATTTCATTTTAGTTCCGTCCTCATTCTCAATCAACATCGGCTTTGGAGTGGTATAAATAATGGCATGCTCGTCAGCATGCACACCTGGCTTACTTGTCGCCCTGCCTTCGTAGGTCATGATCGGCCTGACTCCACAGTCAGTAACATCACAATCACGAAGAAAGAGATGAAAATAAGAAGCTTACAAGCAAAGACAATGACCCCTCCTAGGGTCTACGACCACGAATCTTCGTACTTTTGCATGTATCTCTTCTCCATGTTTTTGTCTAATTGACATTATGGTTCCTCCACCTGCGTTCCCCGTCGGTTCAGACCAAAGCACTTTAAAGACCTGCCAGATTTAATTTTGAATCTATGAACTGATGATGCAATCAAGACTCACCCTCCCAAATGCAAATTCACGAGCCCTGTGCACTTTATAATCTACCAGGATTTAGTGGGCAGATACATCTTCGGTGACGGAGATGCTCACTTGGATCAAAGTTCCTATGCTCAGTAGAAGTGTTGTTCGGCTTCAGGTTGGCTTCAATAGGTGGATCCGCATCAGCCACGGGAACCAAACTTGTCGAAGCCGGAGATTCAGTAAGTGCTCCGACATCTTTGTTGTCTGTTGTATAGTTTTGGTCAACCGAGTATTGAGTTGTATCTTCGGAGACTGTGTCCAGCTGTGGAGTATCGTCACATCTGGGGACATATGCATCGGCAGATGAGGTCGAAGTTGATTGGTCGTCCTCAAGTCTCCATTCGATTACACCCCTAGAATTGGTGCGATAGGATTCCCATCGCTTTCTTTCCTCACTCCATTCCCGATTACTCCATGAAGTCAATGCAGACGAGGAACTAGATGAACCTCTTGATTCTCTTCTGTCTTTGTGAGACGAAGAATATGACATGGCCACACAGTATTTATAATGGAATGTAAATTATCCAAACCCCGAAATGCGAACCACTCCATAAGAGATTCTTCCTGCCTTTATGGAAAGGAAAGTGGGAACTCATAAGTTGCGGCTCAAATGGCTACAAAGTGGTGCAGAATATATCTTTCTTCTCGAGGTAACATTGTACGCTGTGACGAGAGCCATCTCCTCATTGCGGTACACGATTGGTGCGATTGTCGGAAATCAGTAGGTTTTTGAAAGTCGTTGCATTTGAAGCGGGGTTATCGATTCGCTTAATTCGACACCATCCGAGCCACCCTCACATGTTACCAGCTTAGTTACACCCTTGTTACGAGTCGAATATGCCGCTTTAACAACTGACTTAATTAAATGAATCGTGGGGGGTTGAAATATTCCATGCACTATCGTACAATTTCTTTATAGCATGGATTTTGCACATGCTCGTACAAGGAATGTAGCACATTCAGCCTCAATTCTCATCATTGGACAGATGGAGAGACACATAAGGAAGAGTACTCTGAAAATATCCGGGACTCGTGCATGTCTATTTGCAATGTTTCCAATTTCACCCTCTAACTCAGCCTTATTGACTTCAACTAAACAATTTTATAAGTGAGAGCAAGACAGGTCTTCGTCGTCGAGAGCTTCAACAACCACAATAATTACTGTGAAGCAATACGGATGCAGGCAACAGCCAATGGTAACTGGGATATCGGACTGTCATGCGACATTCGACAAGAGCGAACAAGCATCCCAAACGCATTACAAGTGAAGGAGATCACTCGAAAACCTCGAAGAACTCAGAACCCTGATAAGTTCATATCAGTTGCTTCAGCATTCCGCACCTCTTCCACACACAGCTCCATGCCGTATAAGTCCAAAGGTAGCCGAAAGAGACAGAAGCCTTGTATTACGACCAAATCAGCTACAAAGAAAGATTGCCAATATTATTTTCACAATGAACGATTAACGAGATGTCATGAGCCCAAAGTCACAGTGGTATTGAAGCAAGAGGACGACCGTGGAAGTATTTCAAATTCCAGCTCAACACCACGTGTTCTTCAATGTGACGAGCCACGAGAGAATCAACATTCGATTACAAACGATGATTCTGCACTCACGAACTATCTCTTAGATGACCTATGCAACGATCACATTCTTCATATGAAATCTAAACTCGTACATGGAGACCCACCTTTGACAGGTATTCCGCTTGAAGTTGACAGCACGGACGGCTCTGGACCTATGAGACAACTCGACAAGGCAGCAAAGCAGCAGAGACAAGCTGTAGTTATCAAACATTCGCGGTCCGTCCCCACATCTCTGTCAAGCAAAAGTCAAGCTCAATTACGTGAGGATGGTAGAAGGCATTCTGACCAAAATCACGTGTGTTGGAAAATGTCACCCCTCAGATCAGGATCTTCCACTTCCTCCGGACCATCAACTAAGCAGTCTATTCTGTATGATGATTTAAGTCTTTCTGAATCTAACAAAACCCTCAGCAGACACGTTAATATGGGTGATTCCGCGATAACGGCGCATTCGCATAACGCGGAGGAACATTTGGAGGCATCACCAACGAACAATCAGTGTGTCTCTTCTATGTTTGAAGCTTCCATATTGTACGACCAGTGGCAAAATATTTCATGGATGAGAGCTCGTATAACCTCGCTACGCTTCTCACTTCAAAACAAGCGCCAAGATCTACGTATGTTGCAAAGAGAGAAATCTCTTGCAGACGATGCATATTTCAAACAAGCTAAGATGAGAGAGCTTGATATGCCCTTTCCCCGTGAATGGTGGTCTGAGAAGACTACAGCAGAATTACTTTGCGATTGTCAGAAAGCCAGAGATGAATATGGTAGTTTGGAAGATGAATATAATTATCTTGAGCGTGATTTAGATTCACAAGAGTATGCACTTTCACGACATGAGGAGCATTTTTACGGTCAGCTGAGGGACCCCTCACGTTTCATTCCCAAGTCAACGCAACACGTCGAATCTCCAGGGTGGCTCAACGGCCCAGAGTACCACGAACCACAACAGCCGCAAGAATTGCATCCATTGGTGGAAGCATATTTTTCGAAGCTCGGTGATCTTGAAAACTCCCGGGAACTTTATGACGACATTTTGGATGAGAAATTGAGCCTCGAAGAGAAAGTAAATCTGAGAAAGCGGTTCGATATGGAACCTCTTACTTCCGAAAATCAGGAGTGGCTGGATAGCTCTCAAGCCCAATTGGATGACTTGATCTCCAAGATCAAAATTATTGAGGAAGAGGAGAAAGAATTACGACAACAGTGCTTGTCATTGGGTCTCATAGATGAGGCTGGAGATCCGATAGCATCATCAAAATTGGACCAATCTGGTCCATCTTTGGATGCAGCTCTCGCGCCACTTGAGAGCCATAACCAATATTCTGAAATGCCTCCGTTATTTCCTCCAGAACTAAGTGACTCGGAAAGTATCATGAAAGCATTGGATTCCGAGAACAATCACCTACCTTCAAATGAGCGATTCGATCGATGGTCACTAGAAAAGCTTCGAATTTCTCTTCATGAGGTCAATATCTATACACATTGCTTTAAGAACTACGATGAATCACAAGATCTATGTAAACTCAAAGAGAAAATCTGCGAAGATGATTTCAGAACTGCCTGGTTTGCGGATGGCTTTACGGATCGTGATACAAGATCTACTGTCTTGACGACTACCAATTCGACCTCCCAATAAACTCTCTGCACAAATTCAACTCACAGTAGAGATTACCATCCAAATTTTGTATTTCGTATGGCTCGGCTCACAGTGGTACTGAGAAATTGGATAACGCCGAGGGAGGTCTCATGGCATGTGCTGTACCCTTTTCGAAGATTATTCCTACTGTGTTTTCTGATTGATTTCATTCCAATCCGAAGTTCAGGCTGGTTTTGCCGACAAGCATCATTTCCTTATTTCTTTTTGTTCTTTTCACAAATATTAGCATCAATCAAAGCATGCAGGATTCAAACGGGGGTCGGAATACACGAAGCTAGGGCCTTTAAGGAATTATGTTCTAAGGCTTAACAAAGGATTTCTTTTGGGAGATTTTCTCATTGCTTGTTTGAACAACACTTTATCTTTACATGCTTCTTCCAAATTATCAATCGCACTTTCAACTAATCGCCTCTTCACCTGCTCAAATGCATAGTCAATGATATCAAATTTTCAATTAGTAAAGCGATGAATTTATTTCTATTTTTTCTACAATTATATATGCATGGACTATGTTTGTCAGTAGGAATGATAGGAACCTTGCAATTTCTTTCAGGCTACATAGAATTTCGAAATCAAAATTGTAACCCCCATCTTTTAAGCGAGCCAACTAATTGAGTCACATGGCGGAAATTAGAGACGGGTAAATATGCAATCAGCACGGCCAACAGCAGATACGTTTGCACAGGCGAGCCCTGTTAGACTATCATTTTGGCAATACCACATCGAATGAATCTCCGGCCTATGGACTTCCCCATCTATAGAACACTACATATACCCGTAGTTGCTGACAGCTAATACTGGTCCCCCACGGGCCGTTCCGTAGTTTTGTCCCACAAGTCACGACTTTATTCTTCTTCCAATCAAACATTTGATGGTTATTCAAATCTAGCGTAGGGATGTTTAGGCATAGCTCATCAAAATGAATTAATATCAAGCCATTAAATATTACCCAGTCAATCATCAATTACTACGCTTCAAAACCTCGCACAAAACGTGCAAAGTCTCAAATCAAATTTTAAATAGTCAATAAGACCTTCCTCATTCCAATGGGATCATACGAGTTATGTCAAACGAGGCTGTAAATCGCTGCTTTTAAAACCATTAAAAGCGCAAGCGCATCCAATTACAAGTTCAAATATGTATAAGGCTGAGGCAAGGGAAGTGGCACAGGCGGTGAGAGCCCCTTTTTTCAGACCGCTCTGATTGATGTAAATTTGGCGGATTTTGTGCGTTAAATTGAAAGTTTGTTGACAAAATAATGCATGACGATGCACTAGGTGCAGTAACTCAGAATTTGAATGCAGTCTTGCCCAAATTATGCGGATGGACATGCTTTTGGGCCTAATGAGATGTAGCGTGCACGTGGGATCAAGTGAGTGGCTGGTCTGCTTGATTAGTTGTTAATTCTGGCTACGATATTGCATTAGATCTTCTTTTGGGAAAAGCAGCGGGTTATTTTGGGAGCTAAAATGATCTGTATCAAATCTTGTATAGTGAACTCAATGGATATCTCTCGTGTGTGGTAGAACGTTGGCCCTTATCTTTCAGAGCGAGGTAATGAGGCAACACTATTTGACCTTGTTAGTCACTCATTATGCGAAGATTATCACATTGGTATACCATCATATTGTAGAGGAATCATACTCTTAGAAATGTGCCGCTTAGTGACAGTGGAGTTGAATTACTCTCTATGCTTATTATAACAGAGCCTAATATGTCCAAATAAATGGGTGACATCAATCATTAAAAAGCTAGCAAAATAAGTAGATAATAATAGGGTATTGCCCCGCCTCAGAAAGGAAAAATGTGCTCTGGCACTTGGTGAACGTTTCGTATATGCCTTCGTCTCTCGACCTCCAAGAAAATCAAATCTGGGGAGTTATCGGGACTATATGGACAAATGAGACGTGAGAAAAGATTGAAGGCGGACACAGTTACAGAGGAGAGCTGTACCGAAAGTTGTGTGCTAAAGAAAATGGACAAAAAAGGGATTCGTGGCGCCAGAGAACATTCCTGCAGCGCATGAGGGAACTCTCGAGTGTGTGTGGAGCAGCTTAACGTATCGAGTTGACTGTGAAGAGGTCTTTTCCGTAAATTAATCGAAGATACCTTATTTATGCTTATTAGAGTGGCGGCTCCTATGATTGCTGGAAGAATGACCAGATGTCCTTTTGGGTGGAAGATTCGAACGAGGACGCTGTGATTCGGCTGGCTGGACACCTTGAGTCCAGCCTGATTGATCGAGAAAGGTGCTAATCGAATTGCTGGCTACCATACCAATATTTAGAACACGGACATAGTGCTCTACAGTATATACCTTGCTGTAATTTAATCGACTCAATAAGTTTAATGAACCCTCGGGCTCATGGGTTCGTTCGCTATTGACCTGAATAGGATCTAAGACAAGATTCTCGGATATCGATTGACCGTCATTGGCTAAATAGCTGAGTTGTTTTGGAGCCTGTGGTGTTGTATGTATGATTGTATGTCGACGAGGAGCCGGAAGGTTGGGCTTGAGCGTGGCTTGCCCTGAGTATGTTTGTATAGGACTGGCATCATTAGACCAGCACATCAACATATCGTAAGCATATTTTTGGGCAGAACACACCAGCAAACAGAATTCCCATAACCCTTTATTACTACCACAAACCTTCGAATCTCACTATATGCTTGTTGCCCAAGAAACGTAGTGCTGAAGTGAGACCCATTGCGTGTCCCTCCGTTTTCCGGAACCTTTGGCTGTGCAGGCTCAGTCCATAACATCATGAACACGCGGCCCACCTTCCAAAAGTCGTCTTGTAGACGAAATCCACCATAGACTTTATATCCTATATCTTATTAATGTTGGTGGCTTTAAAACTCAAGGATGTAGACTTACTAGGATCCAAAGTTTCGGCATTGCCGGTGTTTGGGGCTTTGAAGATATGCTTTGCATTTCCAATTGCCCGACTCACCTCAGGCTCAAATGCTTCTGTTGTTTTGTCAGAAAAGGTCTGTAACGAAATGTAACTGGTAATTATACCTGTAGGCGGAATATGTGGTGTTGCTAATGACATATTATCAAATGCACGTGCTGTGGCATCAATGGATGGCGAAGCTACATCTGTGTTTAATTGCCATGTAGCATTGTCCGAAGGAGGGTATTCGGATGACCAAGTCGAGCTCGAATGATTGGTAGAAGCTGTACTATAGTTTTGGACTCTGGAATCCGGAGGTTTGTAGTAATCATGGTCCGAGGCCGGGGAGGCGTACACTGGCTTTGGAGTTGCATCATAATCGAGATCATTGTCAGCTTGGGATGTTGTATAGGCATTGGGGTCTGTTGGAATTGACGGCAAAAAGTCTGTAGATTGTTCATCAGATGTAACACTCTGTTCAGTCAACCCCGGTGTTCTGGGCGTAGCTGCTTCATTCTCGGATCTGTCAGGTTGTGGGTAACTGTACTCCTGTACCCCTTCGGCATTTGTTCGATGACTATACCAAGATCTGCGGTTGGAATCCCAGGTCCACTCACTCCAAGGGGTACTTTGATCGAATCCACCCCCTTGACTTGTATGAGAAGCCATGGCTAGCGATTTGCTTATCCGTTGCCTCAGCATGCAAATGTTAATGCATTTGTCCGGAATAACATATAGCTTTTATAATCCGACCAAACCTGACCCCGCAATCTATTAAGAGCCGCATTCAGGATTCCATTAGCCAGGAGTTCCTCCGCTGTTGATAATTCCAAGCTCAGTGTAACGATTATCCCAATCCGTCATAATTGTGTATCGAATACCGGCACAGTGTTAATGTGGACGGCTATTTTATTGGAAGCTTACACGACGAATACCTACTGAATCGATTTTGTTTCTCAATGGTTGCATTGTGAAATGTCGTGAGATCATTAGATCATTGGCCTTCCCAATGAGGTCAAGCATAGACCCTGTCTCGCAATAAACATGTACAGTGCTGCTTTTGACTTGACAGGAATGTGTACCTAGTTGCACCTCTATTGGTTTAGTTAATGCAACCATATGTAGCTTTGTTATCGAGCTGATTAAAATCGGTAAGGAACAGAGCCGCAGCTTCTCAAAACCGTTCAATACCCTCTGTAACTCAAAGTATAGCAATTGATCACACAGCTGGACGCCCAATAGCTCGATAATTCATTGACATCACAAAGAAGTCGCGTAGTGCTATTCAAACCAGATACTTGATACTTCATGAAGTGTTTGTAATACAAGCTCGCTGAGGATTCATTATGAGGTCTTTTTGGGTATAAACACTTCTTCCTGGCCAACCAGTTTAGGAATCATCTTCTGATGCATACTAACTTCTGCCACAGGCGTCCATCTTTGGCAGACCCAAAAATACTGAAAATTCGAAAAGTGCAAGTCATCAGAATGAAAGAGCTGGTCTTTTTCCTCCAGCGACAATAGTTGAAGAAGTTGCGGAAATTTCGAAAAATGGGGAGGAGTTCAATCGGGATCAGGGTGATGAACTCGACGAGCGTGGTAATGACGGCCAAAGTGAATCCCGAGCCGAAAAGTATAGATCTCGCTTGAATAATCTATTGCAGGGAATAAATAAATGGCAACAAGTCTTATCGGCAGAATTGCAAGCTAGACAGAAGATGAGAGAGGTGGGGTTCAAACGATCGGCTGTCTCCCGAGCAGATGCTAGCTTCATGAAAGAAGTTCAACGATTACAAGCAGAAGGACAACTTGGAGCTTTTAAACAACTATCTAAGCTTGCAGATGCTTGCCAATCAGCACGTGATGGACTTGGCCCTTTGGAATATGAAGGTTTCGAAGCTCAAAAGAAGCTGCAGGGACATGTGTGGGAATTGCAACAAGTAGAAGATGCACTCTTCGAAAGTTTTGAATCTGAGCTTGGAGAAGGCTATGAAGGGTCTTCAGTCACTTCGGGCTCAAGTTCAGCACATGATATTCTTGAAATTCCTCCTCCAGCCATTGTAAAGAATCATGGTATTCGAAATCAAGACGAAGACACTGGAGATCTATTTCGCGCATCAACAAATATCATCACTGACATTGAGAGACAGCAAAGTCATTCTGAGACTCCGCTCTCCATTAAAGAACCTTTGAAGAAAAAGTTAGTTGTACACGATTTAAGGATGCTACTCAGCCATGATGAAACTCAACCTGTTCCGGTAGTACGCTTTAGACACTCAGTGAACACGGAGTCCAGCGTGAATGGATTGAGCGAAAGACCGCTTGCGCTTGATCAGAATAACATGGAAAGGCTGAAAAATCCACTGTTGCTGGGACTGGAGAATCAAGGGGGACTTTTTCTCCAGGAGCCGCATTATGACCCTACGTTGTCATTAGATCCGGAAAATATTGAACAGTTTAACTACGAAGGGCAACAACTTGAACCAACTTCCGGTTCAGATTCTGGAGCTTTTGACTTAGATATGCTCGAGGATAAGGATATGAGCACTCTCACTACGAAACAGCATTCAAGTACAGAATCATTTCCCGAATTACTGACGCAATTTGGTACTAAACGCGATCGAATCAACAAATGGTTACTGCATAAGATGCTTATATCAAGATCAGAAGCGAGTCTTATTGGGCTTCAGCTACAAAAAGAGCCGGACTCATCGCCATCCCCATGGGCGAAATTGATTGTTGCCTATTTTCAGTTTGATTACAATACCTCAAAGCCTGCAAGTAGCCATGACGTGAAGAACATGAGCACGGAGGAAAAAATATCAGAACATCAGCAGTCTTCAAATTACCGGGAAGAAGACACAACGATCACTTCTCATCCTACTTTACAGTCCAAGACTACCATTGAAGATACCACAGCTGCTCCCTTAGCAAATCTACACGCTTCTGCAAACGCCAAACCTCGCAACAACCTACCTCATCAATCAATATGCGAAGGACTGGCACAAGTCGAATCGTCCAAGCCTCGTCCAATCAAAGTTGGTATACGCAGTCTCCAAGTCTCTAATTCCGGAAGGCCAATCATGATGACTCCGGAGGGAATGGCAATTTAACAGCGCAGAGCTTGTAAGAACTGCGGAGAAGCAACATAAACAGTGGAAACGGATCTGCAGAACTGCAGAAAATCCAGTAATGAGGACATTGCGGTGCAGCTAGCCAAGAGAATCCCTACTTGAATTGGCCGTTCGCAAGAGTTATGGACGAGGAATTCAAGTACCTCAATAGAGGAGCAATCATATAGCCCTTCAAGAAGTCGATCTGGGATTTGAATGGTTTTCTTAAAGTGGCAAACATCTTAGATATTGGGGTAGGCTGCGTGGGTGGTCATCTGAACATTCATTTCATGCACAAAGCTGTAAAGGAATTAATAAGAGGGAAAACTTGATTCACAATTGGCAAGAGCGTATCACATCAACTCGTATAATCTTTAACGGACCGTACCGCATGGATGAGTGAGCAAAGAAATTGCGATACCCTGAGGATTCTCATGCATCAATACTGGGTGCCAATTCGTTGGCGATAGTAGAGTGACATAAAGTAAGCGAACATCATTCATAATGTGGCGAGAGTTTGGATTCCCCCCACCACCCCCTGGTCTAACGCCTACGTATCACTAATCTTAGGGAAATAAAGACGTACTGAAATCCATCATTTCTCACAAATATAAAATCTGAATTCATCGTGCGCAAAGTGTTCATATCATGATTAGCGAAAGTGGGGCACTATTATGATAGATGGCAAACTAGTGAATCTTTTTACATCAAATTTCGATCAGGCTTTCTTCACTTTAAACTTCAATAATCTTTGTTTGGATGGTTACATTCAATCCTCATGTATTGTAACCACAGTATCCATGCAAGGTTCAATTAGACTCTGCCCTCTCAAGTGGGATATGCAGGGTATAAGATCATCCGATAAGCAACCAACCATTCTATCTTTCCCGAGTATTTTGTACAATCAGCTCGCTGAGCTCGCTGAGATCGTCACCTTACGTCTAAAAGCAACTTTCGGAGCTGTACGCGTTATCTTTGGCGAAAGAGTAAGCCTCACTTTCAACGGAACTCCCGGAAACAACCCATGATCTTTAGCTTCATTTCATAAAAGAATATATGTGGAAATTTCTTGTGGAAGTATGCGTTGATCGTAGTAAGTGAGTTGTGAAACTAGTCCCCTGGGGTTACGCGAATCGAAATTCGGGAAGACCCCTTGAAAATACGGTATCGTCACACTTAATTTCGTATAAGCATAATCCATCAATTACGGAACTCTTGTACTTACCTACCCATCATTACACTTGATTCCTAAAGCAGCAACGACTCATCTCAGTTTGGTTGTAGTCTGGCAACCAAGATATCTAATCTCCTGGGTACCATTAGAGCATTCAAATCGTCTCAAAATGTTCTAAATGCTGAGATGTCCCTAGATATCGAAAGGTCTTAATTGCACAGTATTTGATGTCTGGCCCGTCCGAGTAGTTTGGTGGAGTATAAAGATCACTGGGGCTGTAACGCAACCGTTACAATGCACAGTCATTCATTCTTCCATCGAGAGATCATATCACCGACAGGAGGTGAACACCGTATTTCAGCTTACCAGCCCAAGAAAAATGCATACTCAAACGTATAGCATATTTGCCAGCAATACATGCCCTCCTTATAGATTAGTTCTCATCATGCTATGTCATGATTAGGCAAGAATCTCACAAAAGAAATTCTCCAATTCGTTGGATTGAGCAATTTCTTGTACAGTTCCTCGATATGCATTAAATTTAGAAAATTATCAATGTCATGATTTGAGCTGACTCAAAGCGACTAGAACAGTCGTACACAGCAGTTCCACAACATCAGGGCCGTACTTTGAAGTTAGTGTAATAATGTGCATGTAGGTTAGCCACGATGTTTTTTTTTTGTTGAAATTGCCTTAGAAGCTCATGTATAGCACGAGCTGTAAGCGGACTGGTCTGGTTCTTGTTCGCTTATCGATATCTTATCCTATCAAGAGTTGTAACAACTTGGAAAAGCCTACGATGTTCTCATCCGGATCTTTCGCAGAGTGAATTGGGCGAGGGTGGGATCATGGAACAAGGCTTTAGTTCTAGTAACCCTCATTATTTGTTGATAATATAAGCCTCCTACCACTACGGAACGCTACTTTGTCTCAGTATTGTATATCGACGCCTTATCAGAACAAAAAGCTTTGCCCATAAGTTTTCTGCCCGTGGAATCGTCGTGAGACTGTTAGTTGCGGCTCGGGCCGCTAGCTCATGCATTAGCGCGATGGGTCCGAACAACTGCGGGGCATAATTAGAATGTATTGAATGAAGGAATTCTGTTATTAGACATTGGGAATAAAATGGAAACGGATAAGCTGGTGTGAATTTTTAATATTGGATATGCTAGCTATGTTCACTCAATAGCATTTCAAAGCGCGGAAATTCTAGAAGAGGTTTTAGATAGTATTATTTTTGGACGTCTGAAGTCAAAGATTTATATGGACACTCGAATCTATCATTATATTGCTCGCGATTCTTCGACTTGAATAGAAGTCGGACCATAGGGCTATCTCACATGCGAAATTGGGATAATATCGACAACTATTGCATCTATCTTGACACTTCCAACCGGCGTGTTTGTCGCTTTAACGGTGCGATGATATGCAACCTTAGTTCAATATTTTTATAACTTCCTATGCAGGATAAAAGCAGCGGAAATACAGATCGGTGCATGAGCTTGTGACGTCTCTCTATTCACCATGTCAGCTGCATAGTGGTTGTTTACATCCGAGAAACGTGGGACATCATAACTCGATTTCGTCTAGATTTAAGCCTCAACATGGTAGTTCTAGAAGGACTAGATGACCCCACGACATCGGAAAGATCGGGATACAAGACCAACACCAACAAATAGATGAGCGGGCCGAGCCCTTATCGATGATATCTTTTAATCAGTAAGCACTATGTCTTCAAGTTGTCATAGCACGGGCTGCAGAAATTCGAGCTGCGCGCCAATCGAATTGTTGCGAATGTTAATGTAACCAATCTGTCGTGTCAACATATATACGTGTCGCAGGATTTTGGTATGAAGAGGACACGAGACGCGTCGAGATGCACGATATACGGTCTCCCAGCTATCTGGTACCAATTGGCTGCCAGGACATTGATTACCTGTGACAATCAGTTTCGTCGGTCTCGCATTTTTGACAAGCGACCACGGAATTGAGTGTGTATCTAGACCTATTGAAGAGTTTCTAACTCATAGCAAGCTTTGTTTATACACAGATGCCGAGAGGCTTTGGATGTGAAGTTATTGGTAGTTATTAATAAAGTCATTTGAAGTTAACAGAAAAAAGTGGTCTGGTTTGCCTTTTGACAGTGTTCGCATCCTGAAATAACCCCAGGGATTGGCTTAAAACGTAATAGATTGAGTGACTAGCTCATCTCATGAAGCGTCCGGACGTCTTATTTGCACGTCTGACAAAGGCTCGCTAGACTTCTCGCACACTCGTATGGAAACTTCTACCTCGAAGAAATTGACATTGTGGTTATCGCAGACATGTGAATTAGGCATCAAAATGCTCATGGTACCAAAATATTAGCCTGATTGAAGCACACTCGAGGGGCTAGACTGGCAACCAATTGAACTATCACGATGTCTGCTGTCGAATAGGAGAGTGCTAGGCTGAATCGCCGTAAATACCAAAAGTTTTATGTGCAGAAATGCAAAGGGTGGGATAGAATGATTTGAATTGCGCCCCCATCCTGCGATGATCATTCGATTTCGCGATTTGTGGTGTCCAATTGAAATCTTTTGTTCTCAGCGCGTAGGTGTGGCTCTCATGCTGTGATGAAGGTGATGAAGGTGATGAAGCCATAACTATGCGATACAACAGGCTTCACTGGCATGAAAAACTTGTTTTCTTCTTCCAATCTCCACGTCCAAGAGACTCAGATGTTATTTAAATGGAAAAAATCGACCTCGGTGCGCTGATGTGATAAGGGCAGCGATAAGCAAGAGTTTTTGGCCCTCTGTCAGCTTACCACCCCCACCTTCTGAAAAATCCTTCAACTGCCTATTATAGGTAAACCTCCCGAATTCATCTCATAATGTGTTTGTAGATGACACATATTATTCATTAGAATTACGATTGGTCGAGTGTACCCTCAGATTGTAGTGTTAGAAGGGGAGACGAGCGAGTCTACCTACCTATCCATCATTGAACTTGCTGCAAGGCTACGATGGTGTCTAGACCACACGAGATCTTCAAACACAGTGAATAACTGTTATATGTCATCTTGAAACTCCTTCACAAACTATTAATGGTTACAGAATCGCGCAATCCTATGCTGCGCCACCATTATTAAGTTTGAAACTCCTATTTCTGACTGTAGCTATTTATCGCTCGCAGCCCCCATTTATCCTAGTTGAGATACATGGAATGGCATCCTTCCGGGCAGATTGCTCTTCAGTGGAAGCTTCATATAGGTTCATACAGGAATTTCTTCATGTCTGTCATCAAATATTGACTCTGTGCCACACAAGCTGTCAGCGGCGTGGATTATACCCCGCCTCAGCTATTTTCCAAGATGCGAAATGAGTGATTTCGTAAGATCCTGTCCATTTGAATCCCCATCATCATTTTCATTGGGAGCTTAAGGCGAGAGTTGTCGCACAAAGAAGTACTACTCGCCGATCTTGTCCTTACGTTTTTTCCCTTTTGACCAACGATTTTACGAAATTTTGATGCAGTCAGATTCTCAATGATTGATGATAAATATTTGAGCTGGGAAAATGTTGAATGATCACGAGGAGGAAACTTCACGATTTCCTGAACTATTAAGAGGCGATTTTGATGAGATCCAATTGAGAGAAATACCGCCGACTCCAATAGAATCAAGTTTCGATGTCGAAAGGATACCGAGGACGAGAGCAAATTCAGCTGTTTCAGATGTTTCAGAGGTCTCAGCAGTATCGGCGGCTGAGTCAGAACATCTAATGAAGGTAGATTTACCATCGCGAAGCGTTTCTAAAACTCGTGCACGGAGTCAATCAAATGAATCAAGATACTCAATCTTCCCTGTTGATGTACCAAGACGCAAGTCAACTGCATCTATTAAGACAACGAGAACATCTAGAGCAAGAGCAGCTTCTGAGGCCGCTTCAGAATGGTCGACTACCCTTGATGTACCGGTGCGCTCTGAGACCCGGGCATCAAGAGTCGAAAGAGTTTCTGGAGCTTCACGGGCCTCGAGTTCTAGCTCGAACTCAAGGTCGAGATCGCGTTCAAGGTCACCCTCTAGATCGCCCTCCAGGTCGAGGGGAAACTCCAATGCAGATTCTGTTAACACGATTAGTCTTGAAGTACCCGCGAGATCTGCCACCATTTCTTCAAGACCTAGGGGAATTTCTAATTCGGAATCTATGATTTCCACACGGTCATCAATAAGCCAAGATTGGGGAGATCATAGAAGTCTTTTAACGACCCAGCATCCACCACCTGCTGTTCCTCAAAATGACCTGATGGCCCAATTCGAAAACTTTGTAGAGTAAGAATAATTTGTTTAATGGGGAAAAAGAAGAAACTAATGACGTACTTTAGTGCTATTGATGAAGTGCCCACGAGAAGGATAACGCTGAAGCGAGTTGTAGCACCCGCAAAGAAGACGGTCAAATGGATGCAATTGAAAAAACTTCTTCGAAATCCTCTGCGAAAAGAGTCGAACATATTCGATGAGAAGACCAAGAATTCTGATGGAGCTAGAGTTCAAAAATGGAAAAGTCGATGTTCCATTGCGGCAATATTCATGGGTGCTGTGCTTGCCGCATACGTAGTTTTTATCATCTGGGCATCGCAAAGAACTGATAGCACGAAAATTGGGACGATATTGACAGGAAACTGCTCGACGGTCAACGCAACAAACCTTGGATTGCACGTGCTAATTAATGCAATGGGCACGATTGTTTCCATTGCAAGTGCTTGTGCGCTCTATTTTCTGAGTTCTCCCACGCGAAACGAAATAGATGAAGCTCATGCAAAAGGAAATAGCTTTAATATTGGAGTACTGAGTTTACGAAACTTGAAAAGTTTCAAGAAGAAGATCTTATTTGGGCTACTGATAGTCACTTCTTTGCCTATTCATTTTCTGTTAGTATATACATGCATGATTACACTATCCATACCCCGTTGCTGACAACAGCAGTGCAAATTCCGCCGTATTCGAATCCAACTTGGAAGTGAACTATGATGTGGTAGTAGTAAGTCCGGAATTTCTAGCCCAGTCCTCGGTAGACTGTTTGCAGGATGTCGCAGCAACTTGTACGGAGATCGATGGCCACCCCAGATCATGTGAAACTCATCCCCTCAACTTCACTACTTCTCAGAAATCATCAGACCTTTGCAATACCTCCACGATCCTACATGAACGCGCAAACCAAAATAAGCTTCAGCGCCTCAACACAACGGAATGTCTTACGGCTTACTCAACCGCCTCGAATCCAGCTTCGAATTTTGGAAACCTATTGGTTGTAACGCAAAAGCAACCCCTATTTACCAACAACACCATCCTCCTTGCATTTCATCACATATCTTATTCATCTGTTCTCAGTGGCCATGGATGGACCTGTGGACCCGACGACCCGTTACCCGGACAGAATACATGTGATATCCCCAATCTCATCCTCAATGCCGACATTTGGACACTGGGACCTTCAATGCTTCCAACCACCACTAAATCCACATCACTTGCATCTTATGAAAGATGGAATATCGATCATTGCCTTGTCGAAAGCTTGCCAGTCCAGCCTATGTGCAAGTTACAGTACAGTCGCTCAATAATACTATGTATCATCATCGCATTAGCAGTGAAATTCATCTGCATTCTATTCATAGCTATTACCATGACCAAGCCAGTACTCTCGACAGTCAAAGATGCTGTCACTTCATTCCAAGACCGAACGGATATGGTGACATCAAATAGAAATTTCATTCATCGCAATTCGGCATGGAAATCCAAAGACGGTCTATTGATTCTAGAACCGGAGGTGGAAGGAAGGCCTAGGAACCTGCGATGGTTCCATGGAGCGAGCTTGCCATTGTGGGCCGCTACTCTGTTCTTGTAGGTATGCCCATATATTTCTCGAGGAACCATCTAACCAATTCACAGAGGCGCCGTACTCCTAGCTGTCCCTCTTGTTCTTCTCACCACCGCCACTGTCCCTATCCCTCACCCATATTCCATCGGTCTCGGACGCTACTCACCTCTCGCAATCTTAAACATCTTTTCCTGGTCTAGTAAATCTTTCGTTCCCCTACCCGAGATAACAAAAACCCAACTCTTCCCAACTGTTCTCCTCGCCAATCTTCCTCAATTGGCAATTTCTATTTTACTTTTCCTTTTCGCACAAGTATACACTCGTATGCTATCTGCAAATACATTTTCGTGTCTCACAAATCCTTCTCCGAGCTTGAAGTCCCGGAAAATCATGGGATTTTCATGTGCATATCTATATATCTCCGCGCAAGTGGTTTTAGGAACGGTTCTTCATTTCCTTGCGTCTCAGGCGTTATTCGTACACCATGTTGAAATCGTGGGGAGTGACGAATTGAAAGAGCCGTTGGAGTATTTAGATTTAGGTTACAGTCCTTTGGGTATTTTGATATCTTTGGTGTTTGGTGGCGTGATGCTTGGGACTCTGATGGCAAGTGGCCTATGGAGGTTGAGCGGTGGGCAATTGGTTGGAAGTGGAAGTATGGAAATCGCAGCTGCTTGTAAAAAGTAAATGACGGAAAAACGGAAAAATGGTACTTGGGCATCACGATGGAGTTTTCTGTATTATATATGGACGGGGTGGGCTGCACGACTGTATTGGTTCTACGACGTGGCATGTGGCGCTTTGTATATGATGATACCAATATGTACATATCTTCTATTCTTGTATATAACTTTTTTTTTGGAAATTCTCTCTGTGGTATGACACTATCTGTATCCTATGTTATCACATTTCGATTCATGATTGTGAAATTATCTTCAACGCTTGACAACGATGACAGATCCGGCATTATTCGCAAACTCACTCTCCTTGTAGTGGCCAAGTAATTCTGTTCAGAATCCTGAATTGCGTGTATATAGCTGATGAGTATTCTCGCATGCTTCGCATAGAATGGCAGTGGAGTGACTTTCCTCTCAAACGTTGTCAGTAAGATTTATGATGCTGAAATTCCATTCAAACCAGCATATCGTATGGCCAATATCGTATGGCCAGCTTGCCAGCGCAGATATATGATTAGATAACTTATTCGAATGATGTGAGTATAAGAGCTTGTACTAAGTTGCCGAGAGAATCCCACCAAAATAGCAACGTGGAGTCGTGCGCATTCTTTACTTGCCCCCTCCCCGCCCCCTCTCAAATACTTGGGCAGCACCCAATGAGAATCGCAGCAATGTCAAAACAAAGCAGCATATATAGCTCAAGTAATATTTTGAATGCTTTAGCAACTAGCCATATATGGAGAAAGAGAGATTAATCCCTCACTTTCGAAAATCATGCTGGTCGTAAGGCCTAAGGTTAAGCGGCAAAAAATATCATCAAAGTAACGTGATGGTTTATCTCATTAGCATGAGAATCGGACTGTAATAGGACCCGTATTGCTGCCGAATCGCGAGATAAAAGACGTGCCATGAATGGACAATAGGATTTGACAGGTTCTCGTATTTTGCATTTCCAGTATCACGGAGGTTCGAGATAGGTTCATCACCATCCGAACGCAAAACATACTATCACGTGATATCGATAATGTGGGGAGGGTATCAGTGCTGGAGGTCAATGGTCGGAGTTGATCAGACACCAAGCAAAGTAACTTCAAAACTCTGTAAGATTCAATACACTGAACATTCGATCGTCTGCATTGAATTGACTTGCTTAAATTGGATTATTGGGACGAAAATTAAGCTTTGCTCGAACTTATTTATGATATGTGACTTATTTCGTCCTGCATTCGACACTGTCGTGCATTATATAGAGAGTAGACCGTCGTTGCTTTTGATCTTCTATCATGTAATGAAGATGCATATTATTCACCATCCCTCTCAATGCACCACTTTCCAGCTTCTGATGGATGTTTATCGGGAATTTCGTACATGCCGCAATGGACTCCGCGAACCAGAACTCCGGGCAAACTTCTCATCAAAGAAAATGCCAAGTTTCAATTTCAGGTCAATGGTTTTCGGAAGTTGAAGATACAGTGAATGGACAAGTTTCTAGCTGCGGAGACTATAGGATCAAAATAAAGGGGGATCTGGAGAAGCTCCTGCCAAAGAAAGACGATGGCAGGATGTAATTTCATAGCACAACACTGTTGGTGTGCCAATGAAAGCTTAAATCAATCATGCCCAAACTTAAAAAATTTCAAGTCGGGTCCACGCGACGTGTTTTCAAACTCAGCTACATTCATTCTTACCGCGAGAAATTATGGTCATTCCGAATTTGCAAATGCTCTTTCCCGTTTTTGTAGGACCTTGCGCCATGCAGACAAATCAGCCCCTTTTATTTTTTCTACTGGCATTGGCTGATTTATGTCCTCAGTGAGGATATCAAGCTCAAACTTTCTTCAAGCAATCTTCAATCTGCGCGCGGGCAGAATAGCCGACACCTGCTTCGGTGCAGACAGCTTCTTCAAGTCTTCAATAATTTCTGGCAAACATTGGATTTGGTTAGGACGGGGCTCGAATCAGCCAGACCGGATTTGATCGAGGTCGAAGATTGTGCTGCATGTTACATTCATGAAGTAAAATGTATAGGGTTGGAAAATATGCGGTCAAATACGAGGATGAGGATAGAACGAATTGAGACAATGTGGGTACTGCCCTCCAGGAACTAGTTCTAGTGGCAAGATCGTCTACTTCTTTAGACATTCTGGGAGAAATCGTAGAGGGATGATGCGATAACGTGGACTGCATCAGCCACGAGAAATTCTTTCAAAGCAATGCAGATAACTTTGAAGCAATGTTCTTCCATACTCCTAGACTGCGTTAGAGTAGCAGTCTCGCTGCATATCTTAATCGTTGCTACATTTCTAATAAAACTCGGCAATTCTGTTCCGGCCAAGAATCCGTCGGGCGAACAGCAGAAATGGCCAAAATGAGGATAAGAACCCTAGGTTTTTCCCAAACACTCTCCTACACTTGCCAAGTTCAGCGAGTGCCAGCGCAACAAAAGGTAGATGTCAAAAGCTAGATGTCAAAACTTTGATGTCTATTTAGAATACTAATCACCATTATCAGGCGAGGATACAAACAAAATAGGGATTCCAACCCCGCAAATAACACAGGAACCGTGCGATAAACTTTCATCAGGGTCCAAGTCAAACCGAAGCATCAGTACTGCAAGAGAAACGCGTACGCCAATGTTTCCACCGGTCCTTTTGGAGCCCAGCTGCGACTTGAGATACTTGGATTGCCTCCAGAAAAGGACCAAAGGAAAGGATGTGTTGATTAAACTGGTCCTTCGTATATGCCCCGAGCAATGAGGTCAAGTTACATGATTTCGATGGAAATATTGAAGGTTGACAAATTCTTGTTTGGGACAACACGACACAACTGGCTAATTAAAATTCGGTTCAAAGCAGATAATCCATGATCCAGTGCAAAAACCCCAGAATATTAAATCACAGTGGTAATATAGTCCAACGTCGTGAAACTAGGCTAATAGTGATCGTGGGGTACGATTTCCCGAGCAATAGTGTATTGCAGGTAATTTTTATCAAGTAATATCAAGCCACATGATGCGCTGTGCTAAGAGGTTGGCACAAAGAAGCACACCTGGGCACCTACTTACTCTATTTTCAATGTGGCTGACGTGACTGCAAAGGGTCTAGTCAAGTTGATGCACGACTTCATTCAGAAATGATAGCAATGAATCAATTGTGCATGTTTTGCGGGAACAATGGTCTTCCTAATATAGAATTTCAGGTTGGAAGATCGATTACCAAGGTTTCAGTACTGTCTGAGAGACACACTTGACTCTTTTTGTCAGGAATCACAAAATTCCAAAAAAGTTCCTATCAAACGTTGATTTAGATGCTATTGCTTCACATGCCCGCCACAATTAGCTTATAGCCAAAATCGAAGACGAATGCAGGTTATACAACAGCGTTATGCAAGGCAGATTACACCATAGCTATTCCAGAGCTTGTGATCGGTTGTATCTTCTACCACCAAACAAACTTTTACTCGGCGTGTTCTTTTTAGTACGTAACTCTACGCAACTATCGTAAAATGAGGAGTAAATCTCGATGAGAACACTAAAACATTGTTCCAGAACATCTTGGGAATTCACGTGATGTTAATCATCACCCATAGGTCCCATTTATAATTCGGTTTTGATCGGTTGAAGATCAGGAGATGGGTCAAATCACATGGGGTCCCCTCATCAAAGTCATCAAAGTCCATTATCACTCGTTTAGAAAAGCGGGAATTTCACCAACCACGAGTCAAACATTAGTCCACGAGTCCACTCACAGCTTATTACTGTACCATAGCCAAGTCAAATATACAAGTCTACCATGCGTGATCCCAAGTCCCAACATCATCATTATCAAATTAATTGCATGCTGAATCCAATCAGGAACTAAATGGGTTGGATGGAGACTCTCAAATGGGAAACTCGCAGGAACAATACCAAGTTTCAAGAAAGTCGACGATACTTCTTGTACACCGTATCTGAAATACTTCAAGTATCATGATAGCGACAATCACAGTTCCACCAAAGCTTATCTGGCGGTGAGATGACTACCCAATCCGAGCCCCTTTATTATCACGGAGCACATGAACGGACCTTCCATAACACCATTGCCCAAGCACCAAAAAATATCGAGGAAATACCGAACCCAATTACTCCTTTCAGCTAATACTTACATTTACTTGTAGATTGATTGGGTTTTGGTCTCAACTAATTCGATCGATTCTGATGTGCTTCGTAAAGTTGCGGTAAGGTTTATACAGGCGTAAACAGGCGAGATAGATTGCCATTACCCTTTTAGATTTTTTAAAACCTTGCCCGGGCTATTTACCTACCATGTTCAGTGCTAGCCCAATACACAAGCCATCATCCACAAGTGCCCAATTTTTGTTGGCGTCTTTTCACATTCCTCTAAAGTTCGATGGACCTGCGTGATCAAATCTATGAGGCATTTCAATTTCATCCACAACCAACCTAAACATTCTATATATTGAGACATTTTCCCACCTATTAATTCGCTCTTACTTTTGACAAAAAAGAAACATACAATTTGTTACACCATATCAAGCACTGCAATGGGCTTTGAACTTCATACTCTTTTCACTACCGCTTCGTCAGATAAATACTCAAGTTCGACCAGAAGTTGATAATAACGAAAGCACTTTTTTCTACACCGTTACATTGTTACACATATTAATGTTCATTCCAGTCTTCAGCCTTCCAACGTCGTCGACCAGATCTGCCAATCATCGACTTTAATTCCCTCCATTCACATTTCTACAATTTAATCTCTCTTGATTCCATTTCATAAATATCAGAACATTCAGAACAGTCATCACCATGCAGATCTCACCACCCCGCAACGCCCACGCCTTCTCCAATAAGCGAATGCTCAACTCAACTCCTTATCCGAACTACGCCTCTTCTCGACCACGACAAGCTTCTTCGTCCTCATCTCTTCGCATTCCTATGCCTGTCTCAAACCGCAACGCACGAGAACGAGCTCCCGTTCGTCAGGTTCAACAACCAGAATCGGAAGTTAGTATTATTGTCACGACGTGGGATGATGAGGGGAAGTGCTGGTATCCAGTCGAGGCTTATGGTCCTATCGGAGAACACTTGAATAAATTTATTGAGGCCAGAAGAAGGGCTAAGCAGATGAGTGAGAGAAGAGACTCGGAGTAAATACGGAGGGTGGATCTTCATACCAAGTGTTGGAAAAGAGGATGGAGTTTTTGTGGATGTTTTTCCATCCTTTGGGTGTCTCTTTGGAGTTTTATGACATGATGATGATGATTTTCTTTTGGGGTAATAGGTATCAGGGGTTCCGATAAAAGATTGCGTCAAAATGGTAGATGGCACATGCAATATGGTTTGTCACGAGGCAACAAGGACAACTGAACTGAACGGATATGGGAATAATAGAAGGGGCATCGGAGTTCGATTTGGGCATTCTATACTACAGTAGCTAGTAATTCCATCTTCTCAATGGGTCGCAAGACTCGGTGCCTTCTGGCGCTCCTTGATTTGCTTGCTCGTTTGAATGATCACCCTGAAGCATCTTTTAGTTTCACTCCTATTTTGGGTGGTCTAGGCACCGCCAAGTTCCAGTCGCTCTCGCCCATGCATCAAACAATCCACAACATAATGACTCCGCTGTCACGTCCCACCAGTCCGGTCAGCCTGTTCCTTAGCAAAGGAGAATAGATTGCCTGCGGGACGAAGCGTCTTGTTTCGTCCCGCCCTTGCAATAACTTTCCGTGGGCTAAAGAGTCTCCACCCGGGCTGAAAATGACAGCTATCTCCACTACTTGGCATTCACATGCAATGCACGCTGAAGTTTTCTTCTGGCGTCCTTCGATAGATGGATCTGGATTTTTTTTTTAGATTTTTTTTTCATCACGTTGGTGGTCAAGTTTTTGTGGGGATTAAGGGGTAATGGTGATGTGTATGGCATTTATACTTTATGCAGTGTGAGTTTTTGGTGGGAAAAGGGGAGATTTGGCATGTGGGCGGTGAGTATATTTTGTATCAACTTCTGATCGATTACTTCAATTGGTTCATAGTTAGGAACTGGAGTAGCATCGTGAAGTACTTTGCTATTCGATAATTATCCGGCTTTTATCCATTTTTACTTAGGTATCTAAGGTACAAAAAGGGGACGAAAAATATCACGAGGTAGCCAATAGCAGCCGAGATCACTACCCCGCATTACCCCGCCATGATGGGCTGGGAGCAACAGCATCATCTTGTGCTTCAATGATATTTTATGTTTGCTGCGTTCACTCATGATAGTTAGGGACGCAAGCTATGTGGATAAAAAGAAATCATGCATCACATCAGAAGTTCTGATCTTCATTGTTTACAAAAACTGGTTATTGAACAACCTAACTCCCTAAAATATCTGCGAAGTAGCTGTATGGCATGCTAATTGCCCGGGCTACTTGTGCTCTGTATCAGACCATACTACCACCATCCGAAAGCTTCAAACAATCCATTTTCCAGTGAAGACTGTTGGCTCATCATGCAAGCAGCCAGCCATCTTCTTCAACCTCATTCTCATCCTCATCGTAATCCATAACCTTCACCCAATCTTCGTCCGCATCCCCATTCTCGGCATCATTCTCAGCATCATCCTCAGCCTCTGTCACAAACTCTATCTTATAGTCATCCATACATCCTGTATACTTTGATACCTTGGTGGCAGCCGCACCATTGGTATTCTTCGCATTGCTTTCCATCGTGTTGGTGGGACTGTTGGTGGGACTGTTGGAAGTCTGGGGAGAACCGGCAGAGAGTTGAACTTTTGTGTCTTGGAATTGGAGAGCCTTCTGGACAGCTTGTTCTGCAGATTGAACAGCTTCCTGAACCGCTTCTTTCGCAATCTTTTTGTTGTTGTTCTTGTCCATTTCCAGGATGTCCTCAACAGAACCATCAACTGAAGAAGCAATCACAGTCTTTGTACTTGTTCCTCTTGATAGTCCAGCACTCTCAGCAATCTCCGCATGACATTTGTCGACGTGTCTTTTTATAAGAGCTTTTTCAATTCTAGTTCTGACAGCCTGACTTTCCAAGATGACTCTAGTTGCTTCTGCTCTAGCAGTCTGACTGTTTTTGATTGTTGTTGTCGCTTTGTCTCTTGTCGCTTGGAAACTAGCTTTGATCTCACTGAGTGCTGGTGTGGAGTTCTTGACGAAGGTACCGAATTGTTGATCTCCTTTGTCGCTTTCAACATCAGAATCTTCTGGCTTGGGATTCTTTCTGGAAACGATTAGAGCTTCTAGTGATTTGAATTCTGCAGGATCTCTGACATTTCTTCTTGTATGATGGCGATCTTTTGTTGCTTTCGGTGCCATAGCATACTTAACATCTTTCTCCTGATGCTTCTTGCTTGATCTCTTTGTAGGAACTGCATCGGGAATCCAAGCAGAACTGGCTGATTTCGTGTTTTTCTCCTGTTCTTCCATCTCCTTTATTATCACATCAGTGTACAACAGTTTACGAAGAGTAGGGCTATCATCACTCTGCTCTCTTGTCCATCTACTTCTTCTCTCTGTTTCTCCCATTTCGTTAATCGTACTCTCCTTTGTATCATTACGAATCTCATCATAGGATGGATTAAGCATATGATCTTTGTCGTGTCCAGATGAAATGTCCTGGAATTTGACCGATTGATTCTGATTCATCTGCATGGCCTTGCGACCTTGACGTTGTTGTTCCATCTTCCTGGCGTTGTAAACCTCTTTGGACAAAAATTTCGCGAAGTCCGCGTTTGACATGATTTTCTTGCCAGAGTACTTATTCGATGGTGGTGGCGATTCTGTATAGTATTTAAATATAGCCAAGTCAGATGGTGGAATAGTAGACATGATGAGGTTGACTTTAAGATTCGGGATGTTCGAGTTGTATTTTGTTTGTTAGACACAAACAAAGATGTACAGTCTCGAGTTGTGGGAAAAGCTTTATGGTAATTTGGGAAGATTTGGGCTGTGCAAAGCTGCCGTATGGAGCTAGCATGGGGCTCGGAGTGAATATTAACACGTGTTTTGTCAAAGGTCTTTAGATACAGTAGAATTCATTAAAAGAGAATTTGCTCTGCTACGTCCATAGGCGGTGGTATTGTAGAAGTCCCCACCTCCAATCATGTCTCTACAACTCATTTTTGGGAGGAATAGTTTATGGTGACTGAGTATGATACATGCTAGCCGCATATGATACGGCTGTTTTACAAATCACATCGCAAATGCAGTGAAAGATATACTTACTAGTGAGTTTAATTCAGATGCATTTAGATTTAGAGTATCCTATTTCGTGGCCATTGCTCAGCGCTGTTCTGCTATTGACTTGCAGAGCTCAGCTCTATCGATTGGTACCACACTCCTTAGTATCAAGCATCACACGCCGGCGGCTCTGTTTTCTCCTGGAGGTCAAAATTCCGTATTCTATGATATTAGTAGATCACTTGCAGTTCAATGTGAGAGTAACAGTTGGAAAATTAAACAAAGAATTTGTAACTATCTTGGCCTTCAACCTCCTTCACATTTGTTGCTTTCACGCTTTTTGTCCAGCTACGAATTGCATGAATGATAGATAAAGCATGGAATGATGGAAACAAGTTAAAAGAGAAGATACATTCACGTTGTAATTATGCACAGGTTTTGATCTCTAATATGTCCATTTTCTATGATTGGTAGAGTAGAAATTGCTCTTGATGACTTTGAGCGCAGTCAAAGAAGACATGATTACCGCAGCCACTGCAAGATTGTCATTCGATCCATCATACAATGATAGTCGACAACAGAAGAAAATGGTTTTCGGTGATGTCTCAGCCAATTGTTTGAAATTCAAGCTAGAGCCTGGCCATCATCGTTGTCTTCGCTCTCAGCTTTAACAACCTCTTCGTCGATGTCGCCACAATCCATCTTCAATATGATATGGTAATAGGCTCCAGAGTTCTCGAAATCATCATTGGCGTCCGAATTGTTGTAATTGTTCATGAGAATTCCGGGGGCATTTTTCGCGATAACACCTTTCTCAATGTTGTTCTTCTCTGCGTCATCCTCCATGTCCATACCCAACAAGAGAAGATCCGCCTGAACGGAATCTCCAATTTTGCTTTGCTCGGTGACTCCATCCACAACAATATCTTCGCAATCAGGTTTCTTCGCTACTTTCTCATCGGCAGTACTCTTCTTGACGAGATCTTCGTGAAAGACTTCAATGGCGACTTCTTCGGTGACATTGCCCTGAACGCCTTCCTTCTTAGTAACGATACTAGCGGTGACTTCCTCAGCGGCTTCGTGGTTGTTAGTCGCATCGGTGGAAGTTATATGGCGCTGTCCGATGTCCTGAGCTGAGTTATTCAATGCTTTGTCGATTCTCTCGCGTTCCGTTTTCTCGAGTACGAATGCTATTGCTTCAAGCAAGGATAACGACTCCTGAATTTCCTGTTCTGAATCACCAAGTGCTTCTCTTGGCGCATGCGAGATCAGAAATCTGATTCCTCCGAGAGGAGTCATGATATTAATTTGTATTGTGAGGAGGAAAATGTGTTGATTGTGAAGTGTTGTGATTTTTGAAGTTTTGTAGATTATTGTAGAAGACTCGCAAGAAGGTGTTCGAGTTTGTTGAAATTTGAGAAGAGAATTTTGTTGTAAAATAAATACCTCGGACCCCACAAGCTACAGCAGCTTGTCTAACAAGCGAGAACAGGTGAATTCCAAGGTTGGATTCGCAACTGAAACTAGGTAGCCAGGTACCTAATGTGGCTTAGCTCAGCTGGTACCCATATCATATTCAGTACAGGAACAGTTCACTAGCGTCAATTCACAAACGAAGAATGAGGCAGTTTTCTGGGCTGGCATTGATTGTATTCCTATATATTTGCTAGTGAAATAGGTGATCTTTGATATAAAGCACAGCAAACTATCTCGAGAACTTAAGGTTATATGCTAGCACAAATAAGTGAGTGGATGACTACCATAGTTCATCATAACTTTCTGAACACAAACTGATTCTTTGAGGGTGTGCAAGTTCTTTGATCTGACATAGATGTGGATAATTTAAAGTCAAAATAGGTATTTAACACTGGTAAGTTCTTAAGTGAACGTTACCATTCAGAGATATGAATATGTCTTTCATCCCTTCTTTTGAAAAATATTCAAATTGTATTGCATTTGATGGTT